ATGTTTGACATTGATGAAGTTTGGTGCCATGTCACATTGAAGTTTAGTATGGCATATTTACTTATAATGATATTTCACAAGATTCCAGGTTAGAATTGGTCCTCACCAACCCATGCTTGTCATAACAGGCGACGAACAGGGTCAAGCGGTCAGTCTCGCTGACTTGGTGTGGTGTGGATCAATACTAATGATATCAATCACTGGATTGCCTGGTCTAGATTGGATTATTTACAGACCGCCATCATATAACTGGAAAATTAAACAAACAAACCAAACAAAACACAGAACATATGAGGGAAATGTGTTTGGGAACACACAAAGCCTCGCATCTTAAGCATGGAATCTCATGACCAGGAGTAAGTAATTAAAGTTGTTTCAGTCCAGGAATCTTATTGCTAATGAAGTAACAGCAGGTTGACCTTGAACTTGGTAATTGGCACCAATCCATTGCATGACCTTGTTAATAAGTTGGTTTGACCACATCGTGTGGTAACCATGACACTGATTAACACAATCCTGTCTGAGTGTACTACTGTGTGTGTTATTGATAATTCATAGGTGTGTCATTGTAAGCTGGAGAGCTGATGTCAGCAGAAACAATCCAGATGTACAATTCCTGAGTTCATTAGTTGCTGTACATGCCACATTGAGATTAATGTATGAGGGAGAATAAGAAATTCATGATTTGTCATCAAACATACAAACACAAATGTGACTAATTATGTCTCAAGAATAGGGGACATTGATTTTGGCCCAGAGCACTATTTCAGCAATATAACCTTGACTTGTGCTTGACCCAGAGCACTATTTCAGCAATATCGCCTTGACTTGTGCTTGACTCAGAGCACTATTTCAGCAATATTGCCTTGACTTGTGCTTGACCCAGAGCACTATTTCAGCAATATCGCCTTGACTTGTGCTTGACCCAGAGCACTATTTCAGCAACATTGCCTTGACTTGTGCTTGACCCAGAGCACTATTTCAGCAATATTGCCTTGACATGTGCTTGAACCAGAGCACTATTTATGCAATATTACCTTGACATGTGCTTGAACCAGAGCACTATTTCAGCAATATAACCTTGACATTTGCTTGACCCAGAGCACTATTTTAGCAATATTGCCTTGACTTGTGCTTGACACAGAGCACTATTTCAGCACTATTACCTTGACATGTGCTTGAACCAGAGCACTATTTCAGCAATATAACCTTGACATGTACTTGAACCAGAGCACTATTTCAGCAATAAAACCTTGACATGTGCTTGAACCAGAGCACTATTTATGCAATATTACCTTGACATGAGCTTGAACAGAGCACTATTTCAGCAATATAACCTTGACATGTCCTTGAACCAGAGCACTATTTCAGCAATATTATCTTGACTTGTGCTTGAACCAGAGTACTATTTTCAGCAATATTACTGACTTGTGCTTGAACCAGAGCACTCTTTCAGCAATATTGCTTTGACATGAGCTTGAAACATGAACACACATTTCATTCAGACAAGGGTCACAGTTTGACTGTCAATTGTCACTTCATGTTCATTTAAATTGTTAAGGTCTTTGGGTTATTCCTATTGTCACAAACAAGGACCAAACAAGCTCAATAATCTGCAGTTATGTAGCAGAGCAAGATTGTCACAAGGTATCTGTGTTTTGCATGTGTTTGTGACTGGTGCCACCGGTGGGGCAGGATATGCTCACCTTTTTCCGTAAACACCTTGTATCATCATTATTTGATAGTGATTCATAAACACATGCTTGTGATATAGTTGGAATTGTACAATTGACATTTTAAGTGGAGATTTCGTTTGATCATGGAAAGGGTTTTGTCTCTTCTATTTCATTGTTCTGACCCTCATTGCAGTTGTAACTGTAGAGTTTGTGACACAACATCCAGTAGATTCCCTCTAGTGTCTGCCAGATGTTACAGGTGTGCTTGACCATTAATAATGCACCATGCACTCTGCACCCAGAGCAGCACCTAGTTGAGTTGGGCCCTATACACTGTTACACAGGACAGAGACACAAGAGACAAAGACACAATGGCAATTGTTTCGTACTTCTGTAGTGATATTTTGAGCATTGATGTTTGGATGTATGTAACAATTGTCATGACACCAGGTGTTTAATCAAAAGTTGGACAATGGAATTTTTGTGAATATGGAAATGGCTTTGATGCTTTTATTTCCGACACTAAGACCAACACCTTATTAACACGACAATTGTCATATCTCCACCCGTCAGTCAACCACATGAAGGACCATTCAGAAGGCTCAAAGTGACATTATGGCGGCCATTTTGACCGACAACTTCAGACAGTTCCAGCTCTTATAAGAATGATAGATGTAAGTCAGGTTAACTTTCAGCACGTCTTTGTTTGTAATGGAATATATTCTGGTGCAGTGCAGTTGGCCATCTAAATATTCATGAAAGATATTCATGACTCTTGATACACATAATAATGGGCCAAATGCGCTTGACATGTGAACATAATTTTTAAATAATTAAATTTGATACTTTGTGATACTTTTTCACTGACATATGTTTGAATTTGCTATGGCAAGCGAAACCAATGCCTAGCTTACCAGCATTGCACCCTTGAAAAAAAAAAAATGGAAGAATAGGTCTTCAGCAACCCATGTTTGTCGTGAAAGGCGACGACTCTTGTTTTAAAAGGCGCGAACGGGATAGGGTGGTCAGGCTTGGTGACTTGGTTGATTCATGTCATCGTATCCCAATTGTGTAGATTGATGCTTATGATGTCAATCAATGGATTGTCTGGTCCTGACTTGATTATTTACAGGCCGCCATTATATATAGCTGAGTGCAGTGTTCAACAACAGCGAACCATACAAACAACCAAACTTTCCAAGATTGCAAGCTTGTATTGATTTGTTGAAACTTTAGTATGTTCTGTCAAATCATCCTTTGATACATTTACCATGACAGGGTGTGGCAAGATGAGAGAATTCATTATTTACTGTCTCCTGTCTTCCCGGTAGACTAGTCTTATTCCATAGTCAGCATAATCGATGAAACTGGTCTTAACATGCTTGCCATTACAATTGCAGTTTGGCTGAAGCTTGTTTAGAGTTGACTTGATGTAACACTTACCCTCACAACACATTTGGTATCCATATCAGTGCTTCCTTGTTTAGGTGCATATTTGGCATGGCCATCATTTTTGTTCTTGGCATCTTTAACAGAGACTGAATATAAGTTGAGATATTCAGTTTAATTTCTAATATATTTAGTTTGTTGTGGTGTATCTACTAGGTTCATTCATCTCAAATGAAAATATTTTCATGGATTGTGTTTGAAAAAGCCTCCATATGGCACATATTTCATGATAGTATAGCCAGATGTAATTATTATTATTGGATCTGTAAAGGAACAGGTATTAGTATATGAAATATTATTTTGTGCTGAGTATTTATTGTCCTGTCACACAGAAGTCCTTGATGAAACATTTACGCTATTTGGGGATTGTCAGGGATTTATCTTATATTCATTACTAAGTCCCTTGCCAGGCAAATTGGGAAAAAACTTAATTTCAGACACATTTTAATATTGCATTCAATGCAATAATGGAAAAGTAAAGTTAAAGCCTCTGTTTCTTTATTGGTCCTTTATTGGTCACCTCGAGCAAGGCATCATACTAATTATAACCATATTGACATGAATTGGGAAATTATATATATCTATTTGGGAATTTTATATTGACAATTCTTTTTTCACTTTGAGCCAAATGCCTGTGAACATGTACAGATAAATCCATGTTGTGCTGTGTCAGATGAAACATGATCGTGTGGAATGTCTGCGACAGATGTGGGCTGCTGGCAAGCACGATGCTATGGAACGACAGCAGCTTTTTTAGTAACTTCTCTACATGATGTTAAAATATCAGTTAGATAAATCAGTTTCACAAATGTCTTTCTTATTGTTGTATACATACATCTTGGGGAGGCCATTACAAGATCCCCATCAAACACATTACATGTACATGAGACAGAATTCAGACAAGACAGATGCTATAGCAAGGATGATGAGTCATGTATTTTTCAGAATTTGTGTTTGTGTGATGGTGTCATGTTTAAACTATGTTATACAGGACAGAGATATAATGGTTCATATGCTGCTCAGAGAATTTTTAGAACACCTGATTCTTTCACATTGCTATAGTTATCTGTCATGGCATGACAGATTAACTTTAGTATGAAAGAATAAGATGTAGCCTAGTGGTTAAAGCGTTCCGTCATCACGCCCGGGTTCAATTCCGGACATGGGTACAATGTTTGAAAGCTATTTTTGGTGTCCCCTGGCGTGATATTGCTGGAATATTGCTAAACGCAGTGTAAAACCATACTCACTCACTCACTCACATAAAATGAACAAAAATGAAATGACAGTTTTGGAACAATACAGTGATAACACCAGGTGTCTGTGAAATGGTTGATCATGACACATGCAGATGCTTGTTAATTATTCATATGGATGAGGTGTCAGAAGACTGAACTTGTTCCTTTGTGATATTTTCCTCATATTGTCTATGCTACCTTGGCGAGTGAGTCCACAAACAACAGAAGAAAATGTGTGGTGTTTTAACAGGGCAGCAATTAGTTTGTAGTGGCATATTGATTGGGCATGTTTCCACGAAATCATTAGGTTTGTACTTAGTATGAACTGGCATTATTACAGAAGTTGGGTTTACCATGTTTACTGGCAGTAGATACAGAAACATGCAGTGGAAGATTACAGGTACTAATTGGCAAATTAGCAGGTTGTATGCTGCAATACTTCTTGCTCATACCTTTACCTGAGTATCCAAGGTACATGTGCATTAGTTCACAGGTTCACTTCTGTTGACTCTGTGTTAAGGTAATCATGCTTATTTCTTGTGTTTTGAAATAGTCTGACGTTTAACACAATTTGATGGCCGTCACTGTCAGAGACCATGTATGTTGGTACCTTCTAATGTCTTGTGTTTTCTCCCAGCAGGTGAAGCTGATTGACCAATACCTAACCCTAAGCTTCAGCCATGGCACACTGCATCTCTCAGGGAAACACCAGTAGACTCTATGTTATTTGTGTTATAGTCATCTCTACAATAATAGGAACAGGTGAGTGCTTTGCTTGTCACTATGTGTTACTAGGTTATGGTTCAGTTATAATGTAGCTGTTTGTAGTGGGGATATTTCCTATAGCACGCTCTACAGATGCAGGGTTGGGCATTATTATAATAAGTTTCAGGTTTGTATTGAAGAGACTGATTATATTTTTAATAATGCAGTGGATATATATCATATATTTTTTCATAGAAATTGTTATGATGTGATATATGATTGTCATAGATATAAAAATATAAGGCGTTTTGGCTATTATGACATTATGAGTAGCACTTGGCTCCCATCATGGATATAAATATCATCATCATGTGCGTACATCTCTTGTTTACACGAACTACTGTTGGCTTGTACTAACTTGTGTGTGCTGTGTGTGCTTGCTGTTCGTTTTGTGTAGGCCTAACTCATCTCAGTGACTAACCTTTTGTCTCGTACTCTCTGAACACTGAATAAAATAATTGTTTCTAAGATCACAACTGGTCATAATTTAAAGCAAATGATTAATGATTGACCCAGCTTGACTATTGTTTTTAGTTTTTAGGTTATTGTGTCACTGAAAAAGGATGCTAAGGCATTGCAGCATTATAGGTGGCAAATAACAAGGAAAGTTTTCCTTCCTGGAACTCTATTCCATTTTATTCACCTTTAGGCAAGACTAGATCATTCATCAGAGATCCTAATTGATGGAGGTATGTTCTTACAAGGAGAAACACTATTGCAAAAGTTAGAATCTGATTCAAGTACTGTTATAAACAGCTACTGGCAGGATTCGCTCACTTTTTCACGAACACCTGGTATCTTCACCAATTCATAAACACATGCTTATGATGTAGTCAGAATTGTACAACAGACTCTGCTTCTAGCAGAGATTTATTTTTATTATGGAAACGTTTTGTCACTTATATTTACAACCTATCAATGTACTGGAAATACTTTTAAGGATATGTCTGCATGATAGTTTGTACGCTCCATTATAGAACCATCAGTGATTGTGCATAGTGGCTCATCTGGGAGAGGGGCGGTCGGGTAGCCTAGTGGTTAAAGCGTTCGCTCGTCACGCCGAAGACCCCGGGTTCGATTCCCGACATGGGTACATTGTTGTACAAAATGAAATTGTTACTTCCTGAAGACATTATACTATTATTGATAACAACTCCTTTATTGTCTTTACATCATTTTGGGACTACTTCTTGCCCTTCATCGGTCGGGTAGCCTAGTGTTTAAAGCGTTCGCTCGTCACGCCGAAGACCCGGGTTTGATTCCTGACATGGGTACAATGTGAGAAGCCCATTTCTGATGTCCCCCGCCGTGATATTGCTGGAATATTGCTAAAAGCGGTGTAAAACCATACTCACTCACTCACACTCACCTGGGAGAAGTGCATCATTTCCTTTTAGTTTTCTGCACACAGGTATAATCAATGATAAATTCATGCACCAAATACTTTAATAATTTTAAATAGCCTACATCTAAATGACTTTGAGGTCACCCTCTTTCACACGTTGCGGGGCGGTCGGGTAGCCTAGTGGTTAAAGCGTTCGCTCGTCACGCCGAAGACCCGGGTTCGATTCCCGACATGGGTACAATGTGTGAAGCCCATTTCTGGTGACCCCTGCCGTGATATTGCTGAAATATTGCTAAAAGCGGCGTAAAATCATACTCACTCACTCACTCACTTTCACATCTGACTGGAGCTCATAGTGTCTTCTCTCTCTAATTAACTGTATCAACATTTCAAGGGCTGAACTGCTGTATGTTCATAAATAGAACCACAACTCAATATATAGATTGTTATTTATCCGAATTACTTTTGAAGTATATACCTACATGCTTATGCCATACAAACCTACAAAGTTCAAAACCTTTGCAATTAATCTATTCTTTTGTTGTCTTCGTCATGAATTAAGATTAAGACAGGTTTAACCATCACACCCATTCCATTCTACGCCTCATTTACCCGGGTAATGATACCTAATGGCTAAGAAATGTTTCTTACTAAACACAAGCCTTCCGATTTATTTGTATCAGTTTACCAGTTCTGTGGGACAGGTGAGCTTAGTACATACTCGTCAGCTTCTAAACCAATAGCAGATCTTGCTGCTCATACATATTGCACATGGGAACCATGCCGGAGTTGTTCCTAGGAGGGTGTTGGCAAGTTACTTAATAATGTAAAGAATATATCAAATTTCTTTGTGCTTCTTGTGGCCAGGAGCTGGCGGGGATCAGGAGACTGGTCATGCAGTTTTCTCTTTACTCAGACTGTAATTAGGAATCAATCAGGTGTACAGGACACAAGTTGACCTGAAGGACATGTATGATGGTCAATAAATCTGGCCGGTTTCAGAGTTGGCTTGCCGATATCAATAAGAATACAAATACTGGCTATTCTCTGTTTCCGATCAGTAGTGAGGCATTTATTTATTTATATTCTTACTCAAACAGCAAGTTAAACATGTACCAAATACAGTAAACTACGGTTATAACGAACTCAAAGGGACCATTAATTTTAGTTTGTAACAAACATAGTTCGTTATAAGCATATATACAGCATATATACAACAAATGACTGGGACTAAAAAATAAGTTTGTTATATCGGTCAGTTATAAGAGTGTTTGTTATAAACATAGTTTACTGTCAAAGAAAAGCTTTCATTTATGATTTTGGTATTTTTCATGTATTTTATCTTGTACTGAGCCTTAGTGCCCCTAATTAGATATATATATCATATAATGGGTAGGTTTCTCGGCAGGATAAAGCCAACGGATAAAAACGATATCCGTTGGGGTCATATGCGGATAGAGATGCAAATATCAAAGGTGAAGTAGGGACTACTTTCACTGTTTATAAACAAACATGGCGTCGCCCTCGTCATTCGGGGATCGAGTCAGAATTAACCATCAGCAATCTAGATAAACTACAGGGATAATTGCTATCATTATTAAGGACAGTCTTATATACTGAAAATCAGTGTCTAACTGTGACGTAGATAAGGCATTTTATAAGTTTTGGCAACTTTGGAGATATAAATTTCGAAACAATTTTGTGAGGGCACGAGGCCTAGCCAAGCGGGATCATTAGCCATATCTGTGCTTGTAGACCTCTGCGGCTTGAAACCTTCTCCACAAATTAAAATAGTTGGATTTGGCCGAAATGTATGTGAATTGTTACCTTGTTGCGTTTTGTCGCTGTGTGTACATCTGACTACACTTCGTAACGTTATGACAGGACGGACCGACTGTCAACAAGGTCTGACCGTGGCCGTGACGTCTCAGAGACAGGGTTAGAGTAGCTTCCCTTTGACAAAGGGCAGTTACTCCAGCCAACAGACCGATGGATTGCCGCAAAAGGCAATTAAAAACAATTGATGTTTTGCGTTTATGTTGCTTCGCCACTGTATAAGAAACAGATTTCAGTTGGAACTATATTGGCTACAGTCACTGTCCGACTGACACATCACTTACCCTCTGACGTAATAGATATTAATGTGCGCATTGCAGGAAAACTCACAATGTTTCATTTATGTTTGTGAGAGAGGGAAAGCGATTTTTAAGCACAGAATTAAAGAATGACATTATATGATAAAGAGGTTATCACGCTTGTGTGTTTGGGGATGGTAAATATCCTGTATTAGGAATAAACACTATGTATTTAGCTCGCCAAGGCTCGCTAAATACAATGTTTATTCCTAATGCAGGATATTTACCATCCCCAAACACACTCGCGTGATAACCTCTCTCTCTCTCTCTCTCTCTCTCTCTCTCTCTCTATATATATATAATATAATATAATATAATATAATATAATATAATATAATATAATATAATATAATATATATGTGGCACTATTGAGTAACATTACCTGTATAAAAATTAAGCCCCAAATCATTTTGTTAATGGACATGGACTCAGGTTTTCTTTCTCATGGACTCAATGTCTGTAAAAAATTTTCTCGTTTATTACGAGATTTGAAACTATAAGTTGCCCCCATGTCCTTCAGATGAATGTTGTATACTGTGCCTCATACTCTGTGGACTCAAAATGTATCTATTATGTATGAACATAGTTGATGCAACTAGCATCCATGCTATGTTTTAAATACAGCAGCATCTGCCAGTTTGAGCAAATAGAGGAATGAGGAACACAATATCGGGCATACCTTTATCTCTTATACACGAACACGGACCTTTCGAGGGATTATATCCATCAGTGTCAAAGGAGGAAGATACCCACACTTTTCATTGGTGGTCAAAACTTTAAAAACATTATCTGCGTCATGTTGATTTTTTATAAGCAGGATTCTAGGTAATCTCTTACTTGCTAACACCAGGGTTGATATGAGGGATAACACGCCTGTTGTGTTAAAATTTGATACATTCCCAGGTTTTATAGATGCGGGGCTATTTCCCTACTAAGTGGGCTAACTTAAACAAACAATCTCTTTGCATCAATTTTTTCCACAATAAAAAATTGAAAAGAGAAGATAGTTACAGTGCACTGATACAGGACTGACTCATGATTTGAGTGTAAAATCCAACTGAAATCCATTAAAACTAAGTATCTAAAGTATTTCATCCTTGTATATGTATAAGGTAGGATATAGATATAGATAGGGTGTCTCAGATTGCCTGACATTTCTTTTAAATATAGTTTTTAAACATTTAAAATACATTGTATAATTTTTAGACTGTTTGTATCTGAGTGTGACAATTCATATGTTGTTATGATATTTGACAGTTTACTTTAAAATCCACAGGGAGAGCCATGTGACTAGGAACATTTGAAGCATTTACATCCCTTCTAGCACTATTTCAAAGATGGCTGCCACGCCGTCTGCCCATGTAATGATGTATGCTACAAATCCCTTTTGGATCATGGAATACTAAGCACTTTTGTAATGCCAGCATGAACTGGCTCAGTGCAGGAGAGATTCCTGTCTGAAATGCTATGCTTAGGATGTTTGAGAGGATAACAAACCCAAATCTGGTTCCCTGCTAGAGACTCTTACCAACAAATAAAATGGGGAGCATTTGTCATGTTAGACATCTTCAAATTGCTAGGGCATATTTGGCATTATATGTACCAGCTTTATAGAAGCAAATAGGAATGACAAACAGTAACTGTTAACAAGTAAATACTAGGGATGACAGACTTGTATGTTATGATTTATGCAATTGTACCTTCACAAATGATTGCAGAATAAGCAACATTCTTATGGTGAAACAAAATGGCAAATTTGACATTGGAGTCTGATGTTTAGAATGAACAATTTATGTATACCATCAATGTTTTAAATACAGTGAACACTTGTTTACTTGAGGAGGCCTGGCAGTCTATCGAATCACAGACATACTTGTTTACATGTATGTTCCATCATGGTATTGACCGCCTCCATAGTCTAGTGGTAGAGCATCCGCCTGGATAGCGGAAGGCTTGGGACTCGATCCCTGGCCGCGCCATACCAAAAGATGTTAAAAGATAGTACTTGTTGTTATTCTGCCTGGCGCTCGGCATTAAAATTAAAGGGCTAAAACAAGATAAGACAAGACTAATACAAGCACACACACACACACACACACACACACACACACACACACACACACACACACACACACACACACACACACACACACACACACACACACACACACACGCATGCATGCTCGTCGCTGTGTAAAGGCAACATCTTGAACGCAGTGTTAAACACCATTTCACTTCACTGTTCATGGTATTACACCATAGTGCTGATATGTATTCCGATGGGACAGTGAAGTTTCACTGCTTAGATCGGGAGAACAGAGTAATAGGTACTACTAATATGTTCCTATCTTGTCTTGGTACCTTGTTTTCCCTGTGTGTGTCTGTGTGTGTGTGGCATCACAACTGATGGGACTCCCTGAACTAAACGGAAAGTGTTTGATATTTTGATATTTCAAGAATCAATCTCAACTTGAATAACATCTATTTGAGTTATCAAATATTTAAAAAATAAATTGTGTGTACTAACTGTGGTTTTCATGAAATTTATTTTCGAGATTTTGAAGTATTTTTGTGTGGTTCAGTTCTGAGCACAGTGATGTTCCCACTAACCATGGCGTATTGTGTTTGTGTCTGTCTGCTCACGATTCATCACTAACTCACCCCATCATGTCTTGTCCATGCTAGCTGTCAATGAAGGTAAGGTTGCCATGGTTACACATATACGTGTCATACATAACATAGATTTCCTGAATAGATTACCAGTCCTGTCATAGGTAGATGATGAGAACCAAACTGGATGTCTTGCTTACTTTTTGTATTTTTGTTTCATTAAATGTACTAAAAAAAATCATATGATTTCCATGATTTTAACTTTGCTGTGTATCAATGAAATAATTTTGCTATGATATTGTGTTGATGTTAATTAGTTTTCTATTTTGATAGATATGTAACAGTGTACTTGCCTGATCATAAAGATTTTAATACTTTTCATATATCTGCATGTGTGTCATGTCATGTTTGGCCCCTTAGATAGAGATATACAAGGTTTTTGTAGTGACGAAATGCTGTATTTTATCTGAATATATAAAGTCAGTATTTCGCTTGAGTGAATGAGAATGTTCATTCAAGTGGAATATTTCCGAATTCCGAAACTACTTTCCATCTGCCTGACACGGAGTAAGGTCATGAAGATCATGAACATCATTAGGAAAATACATTGTAAAAGTATGATATAAAAAGATAATGTGTACTTTCTTGTTGAATACCAATTCTAATCTCACCTAACAAATGACAAGATGTAATAGATGATTAAATTCTTGAATACAATCATTGTGATGTTTCTAGGTTATTTAGCTTGACATTTTTACGTTTCCCTTGCTTGATACCTTCTTGCTGAACCAACCCAATGATAATGACATATGTATGATCTCTATAGCCAGATGGACCTACTGTGTGGAGGTAATTCATGGGAGTGCATGAGCACTGGTAGTGTGTGAGAAATATGACTGCAGATTGAGGGTTTATGAGAGTATGCATTCCATGTCAGTCAAACAAATGTTAATTTTAAGTCCTTGTTTGTCCTTGTGATAGTTACATGAAGCGCCATGGAGGTTGTAGATGGAATTGTATGTTCCATCATACTCACATTTAATATTTGTTTGTTTGGTTGTTGTTTAATGCCGCACTGAGCAATATAAAGCTATATGACAGTGGTCTGGAACAGACAATCCAGTGATTGACATCATGAACCTCAACCCACGCAATTGGGATACGATGACATGCATCAACAAAGTCAGCAAGCCTGATCACCCGATCATTTTAGTTGCCTCTTACGACAAGCATAGTCACCTATCACATTGTTGAAAACAAAATATGTCATTTCTTCATTAGAGACATGTATTCAAAATATACTTTTACCCAATCATAAAACCCTAAAGATAAGATTATTAATATACAATTAATGAATAGTATGAACTTATTAATGAAACTCTTTTACTTTGTTCAATTATCAAAATTCCCAACCAAATCAAGACACCAAATATGGTATCGCTATTCTTGAGAAAATGTTGATATTCAAGAAAAAATGCCCGTGTGCATTAATCAGAAACATCAGTGTAAGGAGAACTTGATTAATTATATTCAAATACTTTACAAGTGTGTGTGAGTCCTCATGTTTGTCAGCAAGGAAATTAGTAAACAGTTTGTCATAAATTTGAGCAGAGCTGTAACTATTCTGTTGTAATGGGAAGGTTTGTGTATTTTATTCTTTTTCTACACAATACAGAATATATGTCATGGATGGACATATCATTATGTCTGTCAATTTCATAACCTATAAATATAAGCAGTCTCCAGCTCCATGCCTCCTTTGTTATAGACTTTTAGCACACTCCTTATGAGACCTTATGAAATTGATTGCTGACGACGGTTTTATGTACATTGTAGTCAGGCATTGATATGTCTACTTTGGTTATGTGCCTGTGGCTGTGTAGGGTGACAGATTGCCTGTGAAGAATGGGGTGAAATTGACATAGTTTGACTTAGATATTTTGTCACTTTTTCTTCATATGAAAAAAGAATTGATGCGGTCGAAAGTAACCTCTGTATGAGGTGACATTATTTCCCCTTTGTGTTATTAAAACTTTCCATAAAGTTTCTTCTTCATGGAAACATGTAGGAGTTCGTCTTTCACAAAGTTCCTCATTTAGTGTATTTATTGTTGATGTAAGATGTTCGTGACTGACTGATGTGAATGGTGACATCATGAGTCTGTAAAAGATTGTGTTAATACAAAACCCATATTGTTTCTGTTTCAGTTGTTTCGAACAGCCCTCCTCAGCTGAGAAACTTTGGTGGTGTTATTATATGGCCCGAAGATACACCAATAGGTAAGACAGTTAAAGGGGGACAAGGCTGATGGTTCCAGAGAATGATTGTTAAAGGGGGACAAGTCTGAGGTTTCCAGAGAATGATTGTTAAAGGGGGACAAGGCTGATGGTTCCAGAGAATGATTGTTAAAGGGGGACAGGGCTGAGATTTCCAGAGAATGATTGTTAAAGGGGGACAGGGCTGAGGTTTCCAGAGAATGATTGTTAAAGGGGGACAAGGCTGATGGTTCCAGAGAATGATTGTTAAAGGGGGACAGGGCTGAGGTTTCCAGAGAATGATTGTTAAATGGGGACAAGGCTGATGGTTCCAGAGAATGATTGTTAAAGGGGGACAAGGCTGATGGTTCCAGAGAATGATTGTTAAAGGGAGACGGGGCTGAGGTTTCCAGAGAATGATTGTTAAAGGGGGACAGGGCTGATGGTTCCAGAGAATGATTGTTAAATGGGGACAAGGCTGATGGTTCCAGAGAATGATTGTTAAAGGGGGACAGGGCTGAGGTTTCCAGAGAATGATTGTTAAAGGGGGACAGGGCTGAGGTTTCCAGAAAATGATTGTTAGATGGGGACAAGGCTGATGGTTCCAGAGAATGATTGTTAAAGGGGGACAAGGCTGATGGTTCCAGAGAATGATTGTTAAAGGGGGACAGGGCTGAGGTTTCCAGAGAATGATTGTTAAAGGGGGATAAGACTGATATTTACAGAGAATGATTGTTAAGATAGTGTTTGAATGACCTGATTAATAATTGCTCCCAAGCCAAGTAGCCCAAGTTATCCCCATCTCAGATCATAACACATGTTAGTCTATTATGCCACATATACAGGGTAACATCTTGTCACAAGTACATTTGGATTCCACTTGTATTGTATATGAATTGACATGACACCCGAGGTCCTGCTAGATGTAGAGCATACCAGGCATTGGTATTTAAATATGATTTTCTTTTCTGTTAGGTAGCCTGGTATTTACGTAAAGTAATTGTTACTAAGTGATATTTATGAGGATCATGATGGTGTTGTAGATACCGTTCTTGGCAACCTGACAGCGGTAGATTTTGATGGACCAGAAGATCTGACGTTCAAAACGTCAACAGATGAAACCAAGAAGCTGGTGTCCCTGAGTGCTCCACGGAAAGTTGATGCCGACACATGGATTGTTGACATTGTCCTTAAAGCTGCACTAGACAGAGATTATGTGAGTTATTAGGGGCAAGAATGTATAATGGAGAGTACTTCTTTTGATAAAGGTTCAGGGACTTCCGACACCAGTCCCAAAATATATTTTTTCAAGAGAGTCCGAGTCTACAAAAGTCTTGCTATGGAGATTCAGGATGGTGTATTTTTGTAAAGTAGGTTTGTGTTTTGTGTACATGTATATGAAGTAAATATGTTTCATATATTTTCAGGAACCTAGTGAAAGAAAACTTTTTTTCTCAATAGACGATTCTACAAGTGAGGTAAATTATTTCTTCATATTTCAACTTTCAATTTTTGTATCATAAATGACAATTATTCCGATCAGATGATGAAGAAGATTTACATGGGATGCTTCTTGTGCATGTGAAAAAAGTGATAAGTTTGTTCTTTTTGGAAATGAAGTTGTGTCTCCCAGGGCAAGTGACTGTTAAAACATGCCTCAGTTCACCGAGCATTGAATGGGTAGGATGAGATGGTAATGTGACTGTTAGCCATCTAGCGCCTCACACGCAGCTTGGGTTGTATACTCCCCAGGGAGCTGAGAATGAAAATCAAGTGCACACTGATCGATTGACCAGGTTAATGAAGTTTTTTTAGCCTGCTCTAGGGTGTGGATTTGGTCCATTATGAGTATGCACATTATTATATTTGTAGCCATTTCATCATTTGATATTGTTGTAGGTACCGGCCCGAGTATCATTATTTATCAGGGATGTGAATGATGTCAGGCCGCAGTTTAAAGATATGCCATACAAAGCCACAATAAACGAGGTGAGACAAATAAGAGTTTTTAACATCTTCATTTGAATTTCTAAATCGTATTTAAAGTCATAAAATGGAAGCAATTAAAGCTGGCTAAAAAGATCGATAAATGGAATTATCATACATGGTAAGAAATAGTAACGATTATCCATATGAAATTTATGTCGTCGATAATATCTTACATAAACTATTGAGAATTTTTATTTACCAAAACACTTGTTATTGTCAATCATGTCAATTGCCAAAAACGGAAAGCAACAGTTATTGTTAATACTTAAGTGTCCACAGAGTAATTCATGCACAAATGGGTCACTACTCACCAGTGGCATGAAGTGTGTTGATTTCTTTTGGACTTCTCTAATATTAATCATAATTGATTGATATTTAATGAACAGTTATTGATCTCTATGATCTGTATCGATAGCCAGCCATAGAAGCAACAAATTCAAGGACACCAATAATGGGCTTCATGCATTGTGCACATGTAGGGAATCGAACCTTGGAACATCGGCATGACAAGCAATTGCTGACACTATAGATATCATGAGCAATGCCCCAAGTCACCGAGCCTGATCACCCGATCCATATAAATCCCCCAGCCTGACAGGTGCCCTCAACAGTAGAAGTATGTCTCCTTGTACATGACTCTCTATATGTTCCAGAGTGAGGTTGCAGGGTCAGTAGTTTTCACTGGGGTCAGCGCCACTGACCCCGACAATGGCAGGGGAGGAACCATACAGTATTCCATGGAGGTAGGACTCAGTGTATAGAAAGAGAGGAAGCATTGAATTAAAAATGCACTACTACTTTTAAAAGTAATAATTCAAAGACTGTATTTTCAAGAGACTTTATTCAATAAGTGCCATATGATGTGCATTACTTCTTATCCGTACCATTGTTAATGATAAATGATGTTACTGTATCCCTCTCTCAATGTAGACGGACGCCCAGGCTGCAGACGAGGACTACCGCACCACCTTCCAAATTGACCAATACTCTGGGGTCATCAAAATCATCAGGCCACTGGATTATGAGAAGCATAATTTCTACCAGTTCAAAATCAAGGCAGTTGTAAGTTGAATAGAGAATTAGAGATCATAATTTTTCTTCATTATTTAAAAGGAATAAAATTGTTCTTAGGGAGCGACTCCTATCTCCCGTACATGCCACACAATTCCTACATGGTTGGTTCGTTGGTTTGTTGTTTAACGCCGCACTCAGCAATATTCCAGCTATATGACGGCGGTCTGTAAATAATCGAGTCTGGACCAGACAATCCAGGGATTGATATCATGAGCATCGATCCACTCAATTGGGATTCATAACATGCATCTAACACATCAGCGAGCCTGACCACCCAATCCCAATAGTTGTCTCTTACGACAAGCATAGTCGCCTTTTAGGGCAAGCATCGGTTGCTGAAGACCTATTCTACCTGGACCTTCACAGGTTCAATTCCTTCATGAACATTGAAATACATCACGTGTTGTGCAGGATGGCTATGGGTTGGAAGGAGAGCCGGCAGATTTTGTGGTGACTGTTCTGGATGTCCAAGACACTCCACCGTACTTCATCAATCTGCCGTACAGCGCGGAGGTGGATGAAAATGTCACAGTGGTAAGTGCCTCTTAACGGATACTACTGAAAGGAATCAGCATGTTTTTTTCATCAAAATATTAGCACCGTGACACCTTGTTGGTCTGAACAATACCAGTCATTATTATATATATAAACCATCAACGCCTTAAATGCATATTAGAAATACATGCTTGCATTCAAAGAAATATTTCTCTCACTTATGATGATTGATTAACTGGAAAATTTGTTTTTTTATTGATTTTGATCAATGGAACTGTTTTTTTGAAAACTGTAATTATGAAAATAATGTTGATGAACCAGCATTTGAAATTGGCACTGGTCATATTGGCCTTGCCATATTCCCCAATGGTTAAGACATCATAAGGGGTTTTGCTCTATGTTATCATTATAAGAGATGAGTGGTCTAAAACTGTGAGTTTCTACTGCTGTGATCTGTATTCATTTTTGGAAGCTAGTCACTATAGTAGCTATGCTAGAAGCTGTGTCCTTCAGTAGTGCTGATATCACAGTGAAACACTGATGATGGGTATGGGATATACCCAGACATGGCACCCAACATAGGGATTTTACTGTCTTTTCTTGAAACTGGAATGTTTAACCCGACATGATGCAAACATGTGTTGTTCACTTCCACTGAGACTATATATTCCATTCCATATTTCTTCTCTGTTCGTGACTCCAGGGAACAGCAGTGCAGCAAGTGTCTGGCTTAGATGGAGACAGGGGAATTCCTAACAACCTCACATACAGTTTTGTTAGTGGTAAGTAGCTCTTTTCACTTGCTCTGTATATACATTTGAGTCTCTACAATTCTGTATTTTGTCAAAGTAGTTTTCTGATTCTATATGTCAAGATGCGGGGTAGAATAGGTCTTCAGCAACTCATCCTTGCCGTAAAAGGCGACTATGCTTGTCGTTAGAGGCTACTAATGGGATCGGGTGGTCAGGCTCGCTGACTTGGTCATCATACTCCAATTGAGTGGATCGATGCCCATGATGTCAATCACAGGATTGGCTGGCCCAGACTTGATTATTTACTGACCTTCATCACATAGCTGGAATATTGCTGAGTGCGTTAAACAAAAACAACAACCCAAAAACCCCAATATATCAAGCTTAAAGACCAGGGACACCTTCCACAAAGTGATCTTAGCGCACACTTTAACATTGACTTACGACAGTCTCAGCATTACAATCACTTTGTGGAATGGAGCCCTCTTATCAGAGAATGTCATTACCTGAATCAGTATTATACCCCTGAATGACAGAATTATATTTCTGCTACAAAATGACACCAAGGGAAATTGTAACTTCCTGAAGACATTATACTTTTATTGATAACAACTCCTTTATTGTCTTTACATCATTTCGGGACTACTTCCTGCCCTTCATCAGGTCGGGTAGCCTAGTGGTTAAAGCGTTTGCTCATCACGCCGAAGACCCAGGTTCGATTCCCGACATTAAAGCGGCATTAAATCAAACTCACTCACTCACTTACCTTTATCAGGTGATCATTCATTCAACTGATGAAGGGTCATACCTCTGTGGTTGTCCGTGGCTAACCTGTAAACCATAATTAATTAATTTTATCTTTGCTGCAGGTGACTATCAGAACTTTGACCTTGATCCCCACTCTGGATGGGTGACTGTAAAACACCCTTTGGATCGGGACTCCCAGAATGTGAGGAACAGAGGGGGCGTGTATGCCTTCTATGTAGAGGTAAGCAATCACCAAGCTGTGCCGCACCTCTTTCCATATTAATTATGGAAAGGATGACATTTAGGAATGTCAGTAATAAAGTTAAATATTGTATATGACTTTGGATATATGAACTCTAAGAGAACCATTTCGTTAACTATTAACATGAACAGTACCATTAATTATCACTGCTTGGAATTTTATCTGTCTATTGATGCTGAGGCAAATCCTGGCTTTATAGTACAGCAAAAATCATTGGTGAATACTCACCTACCTCTTATGCCTCAGATAGTATTTCAAAATATCTACTGCAGATTTGTCCTGAAGGGATTGCTTTGGAAGAACTTATTTGTACTTTTTATATTTAAGAAGTATGGTTTAAAACTCTTGTAAATGCAGTATAAACATTGCTCATTTGTTATTTAGCCTTATGTTGTCACTGTTTTGTTATAAATTGATAGAATATTGCATTTCCATGTTGTGATTTCGAATCATTTTTTTCTTCGGCAACATGTGCTAGTCAGTCCTATACATCTTGAACAATTCCACTACAGGCAGCAGAGCAGATTCCACTCGGACAAGTGAACACCAACCAGACTACAGAGACTACCCTTGTCACCATCACCGTGCGGGACATCAACGACAACGACCCAGTGTTCAGCCAGCCCTCCTATAATGCCAGTATCCTGGAAAACATGCAGAATGGGGTACCCATCACATTCCAGCAGGAAGTCATGCGAGTTTCGGATGCAGATCAGGTGTGTTGGTAGAACCCAGTATTGGAAATAGCATCACTGGCTAATACATATAACAATGTGGACCACAAGCTTGAATAACACCATGATTAACGACTGAGGTTCCTTTTAGATATATCTTGGAAATAATCTTGGACATTACTCAGTGATGTAAACCTTATCTTGGGATTAAGCAGTATCAGAATGGGTGAACAATGGCTGCCTTTAAGGTCTTTGGTAGACAGGATGTCATGTAATAGACATAGATCTGTAGGTCTAACTGAACATTCACTGACCCGTGAAGATCTGGGGTTGTATAGGTCTTCAGCAACCCATGCTTGCCATAAAAGGCAGCTATGCTTGTTGTAAGAGGTGACTATCGGGATTGAGTGGTCAGGTTCACTGACCTGGTTGATGCATGTCATCGTATCCCAATTGCATGGATTGATGCATGTGTTGTCAATCACTGGATTGTCTGGTCAAGACTCGATTATTTACAGACCGCCTTCACATAGCTGGAATATTGCTGAGTGCGGCGTTAAACAAACAAACAAAAGAACATTCACTACATGCTCTTATATCCCCTGTCTTTCATCGTACACATATGTGCATCAACCATGTCAATTAGTAATGAAGTAGTATTTGTATTGTATACAAGTCTTTGAAAGGCATTTAGAAGTGATACACATAAGGAAGAGAATTTATGGATGTCAACTTCTTTATTATCATAATAAAGAAGTTGACAAAGAAGTTTTGTATTGTATAGTTGACAAAGGGATCCTGTTTTTATCATTGTTCTAAAATTAAAATTTGTGAAGAATGTTCCTCTTATTTTGTTCCAGGGAACCAACAGCCACTTTGAACTGCACATACAGAAGGATGGGCAGCCCTACGAGGACTTCTTGCCACTGCCCTCTGAGGTGTATGCCGAGTCCACGGTCCTCATCAGAGTCAACAACTCCCAGGAACTGGACTATGAGAAGAACCACCAGCTGGTGTTTGAGGTAGGTGCAGGGCCCAGTTATACCCAAATTCCCATACTTTAACTCACAATTACTATCCCCATAGTTAGTTTTTGGGTGAGTGAGTGAGTTTTGTTTTACGCCACTTTAAGCAATATTCCAGCAACATCACGGCGGGGGACACCAGAAGTGGGCTTCACACATTGTACCCATGTCGGTAATCGAAACCGGGTGTTTGGCGTAACATTGAACGCTTTAACCACTAGGCTACCCGGCCGCCCCGGTTAGTTTTTGAAAGGGGCACAAGTGACCTTCATGGCTCAGCATACATGCTGAGATAGATAAGTGATGTTTACAAATAGATATACATCAATAGTACTTTTGATTGGAGCTGATGCGTTTGCTGAAGTAACACAAGGTTTGTGAAGTAAAGTCAAATGGTGTTTAACATCGTGTTCAACATTATTGCAATGCGTGCTTGTGTGTGTGCGTACATGTGTCTGCTTGTGTTAGTCTAGACTAATGCTAGTCCACTGAGATACCATGTTGTAAGAGAACATTGATACCTCATTGAGCCAACAGTTGAGTCCTTGTTTTATTTATAATTAAATTTTTGTTGTGTTCATTGTAATTCCTGGATTCTGATTTGCTGAGCTAAAAAATTAAGCCACACCCACCGAAGTGGACTACTTTTATTTCTATGGAACATCAGGAAATCCCAATATTACAGTTGAGTGAATTAAGGGCATTTAGCGAAATTCATGCATATTCATTGTTCAAACTATCCTTTGAGACGGAAGGCCAAGAAAGAATGAAACAGCAACATGCAGGCTTGCTTGCCTGTATTTTTCCGCTCGCCTAGGTTCCACATGTTCATGTCTTCAGGTTTCATTTCTCAACCGCATTTTTCCAACTGTGCCTTCCCATTCTCATGGAACTTAATTTTGCATCTGGCGGTAACTGTCCATGTCATTTGAGACAGCCACCTTCTCCCTAACATATTTGTTCCAGTTTGTTACCGTCAGACTGTTGCAGTTCTCGCCTCTTGCCTTGATTGACAGATCCGATGAACTTTGTTTTGATCCTGTTCACTGTTGATTGGCTACTGACTTTTGTGGGCATTCATTGAGGTATGAATTGAAAAACCAATGTGCAAACTGTATGCATCCACGTAGTGTGTTTCGTCATGCACAGGGCATTGTGTGCGTACAGTTTGCTCATTGGTTTTTCGAATCATACCTCAATGATCCGAAAAAAATCCACAGTCAATCCTTAATTGATACATACATTAAACTTTACTTTCTGGCTAGGGACATGTGTTAGTAGATCAATGCTGATAATGAGTAAGCGGGAAAAAGCAATACATTCTTCGTGTTTAATATTTATAAGCTGTTTTGACATAAAGAGGAAACTAGACGTCTGCCTTACATATAACACCTGAGAGTCATGTTTGCTTGGTATGTGAGTAATTGTTTGTCATAACTCCCTATATAACTGTTGTGCTAATAGATGGCAGATCTATATGTCACAACATGTGGTATTGATTGTAGTGTTACTTGACTGTAGACATTGAATGAGATTATTGATCTCTCGATCGTAACTGATGGTATGTCAATGACTAATTTCAATGAACTGTATGTATATATAAGCTACAGATGTAGGACAATGTCAGTGCATAACATATCTTTAGAACAATTAGAACATTTGTTATTAGTTTATGTGTCTCTAATTGGAAAAAGAGGGAGTGAGTATGGTTTTACGCTGCTTTTAGCAATATTCCAGCAATATCATGACACCAGAAATGGGCTTCACACATTGTACCCATGTCGGGACTCGAACCCGGGTCTTCGGCGTGATGAGCGAGAGCATTAACCACTAGGCTAACTGACCGCCCCCAAATTGGAAAAGAACCATGTTATACATTAGAAATATGAGATGAGAAATATAGTAGATCTATCTACCTTCATGCTAGTTATTTATATTCTTACTCAATTTTCATTCTTCAATCTTTTCACTGCATTATTTAGTTTTAATGTTTTTGTCTGAAAAACATCTCTTTTAAATGTTAAGGATATATTTAACCGGATTAATATTTTGCCTTTTGCGCTCAATGAATCTGATTGGTCAGATGATCATTATTTTGTTATTCACTGGCGTTGATGTACTGTACAATATAGTCTATGTCTCCTCGAAAGCCTGAGACTATTTATCATCTTGGTGTGCAATTGCTACACCATGATTCCAGTAGAAAGGTTGTAAGAGCAAACGGTTGTAGATCTGGTGAGTTTCAGTGCGGCATCATATCGTGGTGGCATGCATTGTTGTTCATGCCATCAACCACAAATTTCCTTGACCAAGACAGTTGTTGACAGGCTGCTGGAACATTGTAGTCTGCCTCATGAAACAATTGTGAAACATTCACTCTCACCATATCATCTCCATGATGTCCTAGGTAGTTCTCTACTTGGACTGTTGACAGCCTCTGTGGTCTAGTGGTAGAGCGGAAGGTCCCTGGCCATGTCATGCCAAAAGACGTTAAAAGATGGTACTTGTTGTAACCCTGCCTGGGGCTCAGCATTAAGGGGCTAAAAAAGTACTGGTCTGAGTGGGGTATTCATGTTAAACTGCGGCATGGTATCTCAGTTGGCTAGCACTATAAATCATCATCAGTCCGGACTAGTACAAGCAGCCACAGACACACGTGCATGCACGTCGCTATATTAGTGCAATAATCTTGGACGTGACGTTAAACCCCATTTCACCTCAATTACTTGGACTGTCTCTACTCTTGACAGTATCAGCTGAAGGTGTTATTATTGTGTATACTGTCCCACTTCAGAAGACCTGGTGCTTGCTACAGTGTAGAACAAAGTCATCAGTGTTACTCTTCACAGGCTTATATATGTGATATGTGTATATTTCCTAGGTGGTTGCCAAGGAGATGGATACAGAAGAAAGGCGATCAAGCACTGCAACTGTTACAGTCAACATTGAGGATATGAATGACAATGCTCCTGTGTTTGCCAATGACACCTATCTTGTGACGCTCAAGGAGAATACTCCCATTGAAACTAGTGTTGCACTTATCAATGTAAGCATGGATGTTCTTTATAGTTGATGTGAATTTTTATGGGTCAGTATTTATGAGATTCATATCTGGCAGGATATTTCATTTTGTATGCTGTTTACCTGTACTTGTAAACTCCAGATTTAGCGAACAGCTGCTCTTAATAAATATTTAATAAGGGTGGTTTTCCTAATACATGTACAAGCAAATATATTATATATATATTTTGTTTCAAGATGAAAAAGGTCTTTATCACTTTAATAAATACATGCTTATTGTTGCAGTTACATGTACTGAACATGTAGTAACTTGGTTTAAGACAAAATAATTTCTCTTGATACTTGCACGTTTGTATCAAGGTCTAAAAAATTGACCCTTTCACAGAAAACAGCATTTTGTATTTGTCATGTGAATGCAAGAAGAAAGTACATGTGCAATGTTGATGTGGATGTGAAAAATATGTTTGTACTACATTGTGAAATTATACTTTAAAGTTTTTCTCCATGTTGGCAAATCTTATGTCAATAGCTTAAGATTGGTATCCAAGAAAATGAAGTTGTTTGTTTGTAATTTGCAGGCTACCGATGAAGATTCTGGCATCTTTGGCACTGTGAGATACACAATCCGAGGAGGAAACAATAAGTAAGACACTTATATCTGTCAGTAAGACAAGGAATAGCATGGATAGCAACTACTTTAGTATACAAACACAATCCGAGGAGGAAACAATAAGTAAGACACTTATATCTGTCAGTAAGACAAGGAATAGCATGGATAGCAACTACTTTAGTATACATACACCATCCGAGGAGGAAACAATAAGTAAGACACTTATATCTGTCAGTAAGACAAGGAATAGCATGGATAGCAACTACTTTAGTATACATACACAATCCGAGGAGGAAACAATAAGTAAGACACTTATATCTGTCAGTAAGACAAGGAATAGCATGGATAGCAACTACTTTAGTATACATACACCATCCGAGGAGGAAACAATAAGTAAGACACTTATATCTGTCAGTAAGACAAGGAATAGCATGGATAGCAACTACTTTAGTATACATACACCATCCGAGGAGGAAACAATAAGTAAGACACTTATATCTGTCAGTAAGACAAGGAATAGCATGGATAGCAACTACTTTAGTATACATACACCATCCGAGGAGGAAACAATAAGTAAGACACTTATATCTGTCAGTAAGACAAGGAATAGCATGGATAGCAACTACTTTAGTATACATACACAATCCGTGGAGGAAACAATAAGTAAGACACTTATATCTGTCAGTAAGACAAGGAATAGCATGGATAGCAACTACTTTAGTATACATACACAATCCGAGGAGGAAACAATAAGTAAGACACTTATATCTGTCAGTAAGACAAGGAATAGCATGGATAGCAACTACTTTAGTATACATACACAATCCGAGGAGGAAACAATAAGTAAGACACTTATATCTGTCAGTAAGACAAGGAATAGCATGGATAGCAACTACTTTAGTATACATACACAATCCGAGGAGGAAACAATAAGTAAGACACTTATATCTGTCAGTAAGACAAGGAATAGCATGGATAGCAACTACTTTAGTATACATACACAATCCGAGGAGGAAACAATAAGTAAGACACTTATATCTGTCAGTAAGACAAGGAATAGCATGGATAGCAACTACTTTAGTATACATACACAATCCGAGGAGGAAACAATAAGTAAGACACTTATATCTGTCAGTAAGACAAGGAATAGCATGGATAGCAACTACTTTAGTATACATACACAATCCGAGGAGGAAACAATAAGTAAGACACTTATATCTGTCAGTAAGACAAGGAATAGCAACTACTTTAGTATACATACACAACGTTTCAGGGCTACTTGTTGCCACTTAATCAAGTGAAGTGACATTTGACCACATTTCAGTGGAAAGGAAGTGGGTGAGTTAGTGAGTGAGTGAGTGAGTTTGGTTTAACTCCGCTTTTAACAGTATTCCAGTTATATCGCGGCGTGTCAGCTTAATGTGGGAGGAAAGCCTGAAGTGATGCAGACTAGCACACTAGCGGGCATGGTGCTGACAAACCTAGAAACATAATTGGGGCAAACTGGGATTCGAACCCACAACCATAGATTTCTGGCGTGTCCAAGGGACGCAACTCCGCACAGCGAATTGCGGTGCCTTAGACGACTGGGCCACCATGACCCCTGGAAAGGAAGTAGCCCTGAATCATTGTGTATATAAAATAAATAAGTTGTCCAAAATATTCCTTGTCATGATTATGTTCAACTTCTTAATGCCTATAAAGTCTTCAATGTTCAATTTATTTATTGTGTTTTGAATGGTATGTGGCTGGTCTGTAGAGTTACGACCTTCTGACATGCCAGGATCCTCCCCAGGATCTGCCCTGATTTTTCTCCATTTTATGTACGTCACACTCAACAAAAAATTATATCGATCATGTCAACAACTGATAAAGATACTCTAAAAAAACTATCAATGTTCATTTTCCATGCTATCTAATATGCTATTAGAATATGAACTGTAACAAAACAAATTCCAACAAAATCTAAGAATATATCCAACTTCATTTTCAGATTTCGTATTGGCCTTGAATCAGGAGTCATCTATGTATCTGGTGACCTTGACCGTGAGACAACAGATGAATATTACCTGACTGCAGAGGCCAAAGATGGTGGTGGCCTGAGAACACCAGTGGAGGTGAAGGTTGTCATTGAGGATGTCAATGACAATGCTCCAATGTTCCGGCGTCAAGCATATGAGGGCACTGTGAGAGAACGTGATGTAGACTTCCTCAGGCCGTTGATGGTGGAGGTGAGCGGAGAATCCAACAGATGGCTTCAGTAGAATCAATTTAATATTAGAACTTTGGTTTGAATGGAGTTTGGTTATTATTTATCTTTGCCCATTGTCAGGTTTTTCGTTGCAGTTTTATATGGAGTATAAATTTGACATCTCAAAATTCCTAATGTCATGGAAACAGTCAAGTGAGAGTCATTGTGGAAAGGTTTGATATGATTGGAAGAAAAACTATAATCTAAAGTGATCCAGTGCCCTTGCATATTAGGCTATATGCATCATTACATTGCAGTTACCATTTCGTGCAGTTCAGAGAAATCAAAATAGAACTTCTTCTGTATCAGGCTCTGGATGACGATGAAGCCTTCACCAACAACAGTGAGGTCCGGTACAGAATTGATAGTGTTACCCCTGGACTTGAGAGTAACTTCAGCATTGATCCAGTCACTGGCAGGATCTGGGTGCAAGATCCTCTGGACTATGAAAAACTTGACCCTACATTGAAGGGCAAGGTCACCATGCAGGTCATGGCCTATGACCTTGGGGAGCCACAGAAGACAAGCCTAGTTCAAGTTGATATCACAGTGGAGGTAGCTTCAAGTTTTTATTTCATATCAAATACTATTAATCATGAAATTTGTGTCAGCAAAATAATTTTGAGTATTGACCTAAGCCTAAATTACATCATATAATTAGAGTAACCGTAGGTCTACGTTTGCAATGTGAAAATGACAACACTAAGAATGTAGTCTCAGATTATCATGACATAGCATAGGGTATTAAAGTTTCATTGGATAATAATGTTTACTTTTCTCGCAAACTGAGCCTTTATGGCCTATGATCCAAATGAGATATAAACTGTAAACTAACAGGTTACAAATGATACATGAGTTGTCATTGAATGTAAATAGGCAATGCTCTGTGTTCTTTAAGCATCACCACATCTGCTGTTACAGGGTATTTTCCCCTTTATGGGTGAGCAGGCCCTTGGCTGTATTATGGTACTATTTGATAAGGCTGCAGGGACCAAGGATGCCAATATACATGGTTACAAGCTGTCATAACACTGTCATAACAAGCTGTAGCCACACTTGACACAGTACCCAGTGAGAAATCCATGTCTTACTTTAATTACATTATTGTTTGGAGCCTTGTTACGGGACAGTACACGGTCGTCCAGATACAATGTGTCAATGTATTACTTGGCAGGAAGGGCTCTGGCATTTTTCATGGATGTGTAGCGCCCAAAAAATGTCTGTGACTTGATAGTTCCGAGGTCGGACACCTTGTCCTCGGGACCAGAGGTTAACCCTGCAGCACGCAGACGAGGTAAGGATGTCATCTGTGGGATGACTCCACACCCTGCTACATATTCCCCCATCAACAGAAGGCATGTCCTCCGATGCATAGGAGGGTGCTGAGATTTATTTTCCATCGTCATCTGTGTGTTTCAAATTGTGAACTTGGTGTCTGTTATGTATCTGCCTATATCTGAGGATGCTCGTTTTTCGTTCAGGATGTGAATGACAATGCTCCCATCTTTGAAGAGGACCTCTACACTGTTAGTGTGCCAGAGAATTCAACTCAAGGTCAGTTTAAATCTACACTTTAGATGTAATGTATGACAGTTTTGATTCCGACAATTCAGCATAAAGCGTCACCATAAGAAAGCATTGACACAGATCACTGATCTGGATCTGTCATGATAAGATGCTTGGGTGGCACAGTAGTCTAAGGTGCTGCAGTTTGCTGTGCAGAGATGCGACCTTTGATCAGAGGGTTGAATCCAGTGATAATGTTTATAGGTTTGTCTTCATGATAGATGTGCTCATGGGTTGCTCCTATAGATCTGCAGAAATGGAACAGTAATATAAAGAAAACAAGACGTCCTCAGTACCTGAACCCATGCATCTGTGTTACTGAGCCTGCAGCTACCTGCACAAGATTGAGAGAGCTCAAGCAGTGTTAGACAAACTTACACATGATATTGTATAATTCACATTCCAAGCATCCCTGAAGTGTTTTAAGCCTCATTCTGTTGATCCTTTAGAACTAAGTATTTAATATTTGTGTTTCAGGTTCAGTCCTATTAAATGTAACTGCAACTGATCTTGATATTGGGAGTCCCAACAACGAATTCATCTATAGAATTGAAAGTGGTGCTATGGATAAATTTCGAATCGATTTCGAGACTGGTAGTGTATTTGTAGAAACAGGTGCCAAGCTAGATCGAGAGGACAAAAATGTTTACATAATGAATGTGTCAGCCATTGACAAAGGCACCCCACCTCAGACCGGCAGGTGTGTTGTCATCATTCACCTGACGGATGTTAATGATAAATTACCTGTATTTACACCTGAGAGCCAATCAAAAACAGTGATGGAGAATCTGGGTATAGGAACAACTGTACTGACATATAACGCTACAGATGCTGATTTGAACAGTGAACTTGAATACAGTGTGTTGAAGTCACTGACAAAGGCCTACAACGACCGCAATGATGAAGTGGATGTAGTGGCTAGCAACATAACAGTAAGTTCAGTGTAGTGTACACTCCTTAAACTGTTGAATGCTCCTAGAATCTAGACTTTCAGAGTTTTCCAACGGTAAATATGATGAGCTGGACTCAGTAATAACATTAGGGGCAGTGGTGATAGCTAGCATCGTGGTTAAAGCATTTTTTCTCACACTGAAGGCCAGGGGCGTTGATACAATGTGTGAAGCTAGCTCATTTCTGGTGATGCTATTGATGAATGTTGCTAAAAGCATTTAAAACCCAACTCACTCACTAACAACGTTTCAGTAAATCGAGTTTGATAAAATTGTGCTGTAGACAATCTAAACTGTTGTAGGATCCTTGACTGGACCTATTCAGTGATGAGTTTCAAAACTGTGAGGATCTAACCTTGTGTACCAGTACTTTAGAGATTGGCTTTCAAACTTTACATCAACTGTTAGAGTTTGGGAACAGTGCTGGTTTAGCTAAAGTACCCTATAAGGATAACGATTTTTAGCACTGTGTTTTTTTCATCACCAAACCAATCATAATTTTACGTCCGACTTCCCAGAAAAATGCTGATAAAGGAACAGCTACTATGCACTGCTACAAATTAGGAATTATGCCCATTGAGTTAAGGAGACTGAAAATGTATAATTTTGCCATGATAATAAAAGCAATAATTTTGAAGTCATTAAGTGTCAATAACTGTTTTTCAAATATTTTCTCTGTTTTTCCCCCCTCAGGAGTATTTTGATGTGTATCCCAACAATGGCACAGTGTATGTGGCCTCCCAACTGGACAGAGAGACCGCTGAGAGGGTTGTCATCAAGGTCCTAGTGCGAGACATCAATGCATGGGAACCAGTGGATCAGACTGCCACAGGTAGTACATAGTACCCCAGTGTCATTCCTGATTGGGGAATACAGCAATCATGTCAACAAACTCCTTCCGTTGAAATACTTCCATAAATAGGAAATTGTATGTTCACTAGTACTTCTTATTGCTTAATATACTTTGTGAGGTTTGGTTATGCAGATGGATGGATGATCAGTCTTAACCACTAGTTCTGAACTGATACATGCCTAACCATAAGATTTTGAACATCCTAAAGTACAGCAAGCTGGGTTTGTACTGTAATTCATTTGTTTATGGCTGATTTTTGCATAATCCTCAAAATTAATAAATTACTGTATCTTTTCTGACAGCAAAGTCATTGTGACAATCAGTTCTGATGAATACATGTTTACCTGCTTAGGTGAATGTCTATACATATTTCAAATGTCTGACATATTATAAAGTAAAGAGCCATAAGCTATATCTTAGGATTTGTTTTCACATAAATTATATCTCAGATGGAAAGAAGATACACACCTTTCAGATGTTAAGCACAGTGTTTCCTGTCGGGAAGTTATATCCAATACATTATGTGCTGTCTGGTATGTTGTCTGCTAGAAATATATATAGTGCAATATTTGTGGTGTTTTCCAGCAACCTTGACAGTGACGTTGGAGGACTACAATGACAATGCCCCACTCTTCCTCCCGACCCCGATGTACAGCGCCAACATCTCCGAGGGCCAGGATGTTGACAGCGAGGCTCTACGGGTGGAAACGGTCGACCCAGACAAGAACCAGCAGGTCACATACACCATCAATGACAGATTTGAGGCCTTCAAGATTGATCCTAGGACAGGTGAGACTCAAGACTGTCTGATTATTCACAATATAGTGAGTGAGTGAGTATGTTTTTACGCCGCTTTTAGCAATATTCCAGCAATATCACAGCAGGGGACATCAGAAATGGGCTTCACACATTGTACCCATGTCGGGAATCGAACCCAGGTCTTTGGCGTGACGAGCGAACGCTTTAACCACTAGGCTACCCGACCGCCCCTTTCACAATATAGAATGTCAACACCAGAGAATAAGCAGTCTAGACTATCTGACTAAACATTCCATTGGGTGTGGCTTGCCGTAAAAGGCCACTATGCTTGTCGCAAGAGGCGACTAACAGGATCGGGTGGTCAGGCCTGCTCACTTGGTTGATGCAGTGTCATCGTATCCCAATTGCGTTGATCGATGCTCATGATATGAGTCACTGGATTGTCTGGTCCAGACTCGATTATTTACAGACCACCGTCATATAGCTGGAATATTGCCGAGTGCGGCGTCAAACAACAAACTTACCATTGGGTGTAGGAGGCAAAGTAGTGGTTAAAATTTTATGAATGGAATTCTGAAAATGAACGATGACACCAGGCGGTCATGAAAAGGGCAAGCATGGTCTGCCTTACCGGTAGCACCTGCCACTCACACAATCTGCATAAAAATGTGTGCTTGCTGGTTAACAAGTCACTGCAGTACTCCTGCCATGCGACGGCGTCATTATGGCCATTCTGATGCCAATATGGGCGGTCGGGTAGCTTAGTGGTTAAAGCGTTCGCTTGTCACGCCGAAGACCCGGGTTCGATTTCAGACATGGGTACATTGTGTGAAGCCCATTTCTGGTGTCCCCCGCCGTGATATTGCTGGAATAAAAACGGCGTAAAACCATACTCACTCACTCACTCTGATGCCAATACTACCTCCGCTACCCATGTTGGTTATGGTTTTCAGATTGGCTGTTTATATGGCTGCAGAGTGCAAAGGACATAGATACCTAGTGTGCTTCAATTCAATAAAACTCGGGGATTTATCCAGACGTGCTCAGAGGCTGATATTTGGCCCCAAGGCCACAGCAAATGTCAGTAAAAATTCCCAAATTAGATTGGACATGTTCCTGTTCCTGCTGCTGTGGTTATAACTAATGTTATGGCTGGAGGTGACTTGTATTTCACCAATAACCGGACCAATACGGAGGAAGAGGCTTTAATGCCTAGTTTACCATTATTGCATTGATTACAACTTTTATATGCAAAGTAAATACCTCAGAATTTAGGAAGATAAGAAGGTATGATTTCTGAAACCAGGTCCTCTATTTTCCCAGGTATGGGTCAATTGACCCATGAGCATTTCTATGACTGTTTGTAAAGACAAAAACATACATAGCAAATCTCAAGACACAATTCATTACTAAGACAGATTACAACTAGAAGTATGTTTCTTGTCCACTGATTGTGTGCAGAGAATGCAACCAACAGTTGTATTGTTGCTATTCAGATAATTCATGTTATAAAACCAGTGTACATTGTTCTGTTAAGGTATCATCCGTCTGAAGCGAAAGCTGGACAGAGAGGCAAGATCATCACTGCAGTTCACTGTCATCGCCACAGACAATGGTGTTCCTGCTCAGAGCTCATCAGCGGTGGTGTTTGTGACAGTGTTGGACACGAATGACAACTCTCCGGTCTTCCTGCCTCATAACCGCACTGCCCGTGTCTCGGAGGATGCAAATGTTGGACACGTAGTGGTCACCCTTGGTGCCATAGACAGCGATATCGGAAACTTCGGAAAAGTCTTTTATTTGCTTGATGGGGTCAACAATGACGGAACATTTGTCATTAATGAGAGCAATGTGAGTTATCCGACATGTGTAAGATTACGTACATGGGGCTATTCCTCACTGTCTGCTACCCATTTCCAGTCTGTAAAATAGACATTGCATCTTTGCAACTAGGGTAATCATCAACTACTAGATTGATTTATATTGTGAAATGTGAGTTTATAGTGCACGAAGTGGTATTAAAATAACTTGATAACGCTTTCTGGAACTACAAACTGCATCTTGAGCATAGTTGACAACTAAAACAAGTTAAACTGCACCTAAGTAGCCCAAGTAGGACCACAGTATTTGCCGAGTAGGGGTGTAGTATTTGGATGTTATCACCTTTCTCTCACCTGGTTCCATACTGATTGCATATATCACTGTATGCCCTTCCTGTTGATTGTTTCCCTTTAAATCATCAAAGGGCTTGCGACCAGTATTATTTTGTAAGTGAAAAACTTGAGAGTTAAATAACTTCATTTATAAGCACTCAACAGCATATGCAGATCAAACATATTATTGACAGTAAATGAGTGTCATGTGTTTCCTTGTATAGAATAGTTGCTGTTATTTTGAGAAGGATCAGTATTTGTAAGTCAGGTTTGTTTGAATTGGTTTGATAGGTTCTTGTGTTGTATTGCTTTCAGGGTGAGATAACTGTAGACAAACCTCTTGACAGAGAATCCCAAGATGAGTATACCCTGGTTGTGGTTGCCAGGGACAACCAGAAGGAACCTCAAGACCAGAGATCAAATAGAACATCAATACTCATCCAAATCGAGGACGTCAATGATAATGCTCCACAATTTGCTGTCATTGGTTCTCAAAGTATCCCAGAGTCGTCTCCCCTAGGTAGCAGTGTGTACCAGATTGTTGCCACCGACAATGATGCTGGCGACAATGGAACTGTTGTGTACAGTCTTGAAGGTGATTCTAATGCTACCAACAACAGGAACCAGGCGTTGTTTGGCATCAACGCCGTGACAGGTATCATCTCCGTCCAGGCTGACCTTCACAACACAGTGGGAGTGAGGTATGTCACAGTGAGGGCCAAGGATATGGGGTCGCCGCAACTCTCCAACTCCACAACGCTCTTCCTCCAAGTTCTGGATGTCAATGATGATGCTCCCCGATTTGTGGTTCCTGATCCAGACAATCCTGTGGTTGTTATTAAAGAGGTAAATGAAGTTTGATCAAGTTTGCATACTCATTTTAATGAGGGGCAGTAGGGTAGCCTAGTGGTTAAATGTTTGCTCGTCACGCCGAAGACCCAGGTTCAACTAACAACATGGGAACAATGAGTTAAGCCCATTTCTGGTGTCCCCCGCCGTGATACAGCTGGAATATTGCTAAATGCGGCGTAAAACCGAACTCACTCATTTTAATTAAGTACATTTTATACTTCTGAATAAATTCTTCAGCATGTATATGTTCTTAGATTTACTATGAAATATACTTCAGACTGAAATAGATAAGATCATTATATTAATTTAAAGGAAAAAATATTTCTATACATCAGCTTTCTTAACCGATACAGTTCCATACTGTATGTTTCCATAGTGGAGCAAATCTCTAACGTGTATATTTTCTCTCAGGATCAGCCAGTTGGAACACACATCATTACGCTGCAAGCACAGGATGACGACTTTGGCCGTAACGGGGAAGTTGTGTATACACTGGTGGAGACTGAGTCGCGCCTGGACTGGCAGAAGTTCCATGTGGACAGCCTCACAGGCAACCTCACCAACAGGGAGGTGCTGGACCGGGAAACACATGAAAGCTATGAGGTGTGTAATACACACTAGAGGTGTGTGGTATTACCGGTATATCGGCATACCACAATTCAAAATTCTTCTGAATATGTATCACAATTTGTTTGCAAAATTCCAGTATATTGTGTTTTTCAAAATCATGCATTTTTTCATCTAGTTGGCAAAGTTTACATAAGTTAAAAGTCAACTTGAAATTATGAAATTCAGAAATTAGCAACTGATTCTTGTGATGGAAAGAGCAAAATATTCACGACCAGCTTCCTGTACATAATGTTTCAGTAAACATGCACTGTGATCACATCAACAGTCCGACGTTATAAGTCCAGTTATTTTCAGTGTCATAACAAATTACAGATGAAAAAATGCATGCAATACGTTGTGGTATGCAGTCCATGAATCATGACTCCAATAAGTCAGGCCGATACCCATCACTAGTACATGCATACATGTAATAAGAGTAAATCCAGTAGATATTATTTGAAGCTAAGTCAAAGCATGGAAAATGCTGCAGTGGACTTGCATGCAGATTTTGATATGTTCATTATGATGAGCAACAAATCCCATGGTACATGAATACCCTATTCCAAACTAAAAATCTTGTTTCTCAAGTCCTGCATTGTATCAGACATAGCTTGTCATTAGACACATTCAGGCCATAGGTTGTTTTTTACACTGTGTTCATGGGTTACTGTTTATTATGGTCAAAAGGTTGACATACATGTTGACATGTTGGGGTCTTCTCCCATATCATACAGGAATGACCCAACTCATCCATATTACAAGTACCATATTCGACATGATAAGTGCCCCACTCTAATAAGTGCCCTGGGCGATATTCACTAATATATTGGCTAGTGAACAATCCCAATTAGCACCCCTTCCAATTGATCAATGTACACAAGACTTATTTATTCACGTATAATACGCACCCATGTGTTATATGCACCCTTAATTATGGGCAATTAAATTCTGGAAAAATATATCTGTCGTATATAAACATTTTAGGCTGTCAGCATAAACCATGAAATTTATCTTTCAACTCTAATAAGAGCCCCCTATTTCCAATTTTGAGAGCGCCCTGGGTGTTAATTACGTCGAATACGGTAAATTAATTGCCAACCCTGACTACATACCTGTATGCATAGATTTTGATTAGCATCACACAAGAGTCGGATGACGATGTGTCTAGTTTCATTTTCTGTTGAGTAATAATTGTCTCAATGTCAGTTGATACGTGTATATATTCTCCCCTCCCCCCCCAGCTGCTGGTCCGAGCCACCGATCGGGGTGTTCCCAGGAACTACTCTACGGACCTCACTCTCACTGTGCGTGTCAAGGACGTGAATGACGAGAAGCCCAAGTTTGACCGAACTCTTTACCCCACACCCTACCCTGTTGCAGTGGCGGAGGAGAGTGACAGCGCTTGTGCTGGAAATATCAGCATTGCGAAGGACAACGACATCAACTTCAACTTTACCATAATCTGTTACTATATTTATGGTCAGTATTTGTATCAGTAATTTGTTATTCATGAACACCCCCGGTTACATAAGATTAAAAAGCAGTTTGTTACTGACAGCTGTTGAGGGTCTTTCGTCTAACATTGGCACATCAGTTTAAGTTATGACACACTATCACGTGTGTGCGCCAGTTGGGTGCTTGATTTGACTGTCCAGTACAAAAGAATTTCATATTATGAACATCTTATGCACTTAAAACAAGCATACTGCGCTTGCTGGACTGTTTTCTCAGATATGAGCAGTGTGCATATGAAGCAAACTCCATCCCTCAGCATGCCACCCTCATTACCCTCGCAGACTAGATACCAGGAAATGGGGTATTGAGATTTAGCTTTGGCTCTTATCCCTTACTGAAGTTCTAACGATTGACTTCCACAAAAAGATCGGTTAACCATGGCCGCTGCAAGTCTTTTCTACGCCACTTTCTTATTTTCAAAATGTATGATGGAAAATAACTGCATGTAGTAATTCAAGTAAAATGTAATTATCGGCGTGCTAACATTGTGCCAACATGACATTGGGTTGCAATTGTGCATTGAGTGCAGCACAAACAGATCTAAAATGCAAATTTAAAATTCTGTCTTTAATGATAACAAGAATAAGATCATCATATCTCTGTGTATGTTTTTACCCTGTCTGGTTGTTTGCACTCTTGAAGGGTAAGGTTTGAACATAATAATGGCCTCCTGGTATGATATAACAGACATATGTGTTTCTAAAAAATAGTGGTAATTGTTACTGGGCAGTCAGGTTCTTATAGCAGTCTTAACATACAAAGTGTTAGAAGGATGATGACCTTATAGTGATAGGGTGTTGTGTTCATGGTTGATGTGTCATGATGTGATGCCTTCATAGTTGTATAGGGAACACTTAAGGAATTGTCCTTCTTCTTGAGGCAAGCATGTCCACGTGCCGATATCACAGCCTAGTTTCTGCCCTGCCACATCAAGGCCACTTTTCTTGGCTCGATCCTCGTAGATCATGAGTTGTGCCCCTTGAAATGAAAATGTGATATTCAATCAGATCGCTGTTCTTATCACGGAAAACTTTACAAAAGATGGCGACCACCGTAGGCGACAACCAAGTCGATCAGACAACGAAAATAGTCACGATTTCATCCCTGACACAAAAACATAGGCAATGGTTGGGGGGGTTTAAAAGATGAAAAAGACATATTCCAGCATTAAATCACTTTCATACAAAGGTTTACCAGTTGTTGATGTTGACTATCGATATGTGCGATAGTCCAATCTTATTTAGCCTAGGAAAGAGGGCTTGATGTGGCAAGGGTGGAAACAAGACTTTGATGAAAAGGCTAGTGGACACTTTTGCCTCGGGAAGATGGGAATTGTCCAGACCTCTGCCGTCTAACACAAACACTTTCTTCTCTACAGCTGAAGAAATCCCAGGAGCGTTCACCCTAAACAAGACAGGTGAGCTGTGCCTGAAGAAGAAACTGGATAGAGAACAGTTAAAATCAACCCACCTCATCATCCAAGCTTCTCCCTTCTGTTACGAGGACATCAAACCCAAGACATTTGTGCGGCCAGCGCCTGGTGAACAGCCTCAGGGCTATGACAGCAGTGACCTGACACTGCTGTGGGTGAACGTGACCATCAAAGATATCAATGACAACCCGCCACAGTTTAACAGGAAGGACTTGGTGCTTGGTGTTACGAGGAGCACTCAGTTCGGACAGATTATATTTGAGTTGAAGGTGAGTCGTAAATGAGAGACAGGACTGATGAGAGAGTGGAGTTGGACTGGTACCAATTCCATTTCATTGGGAAGCCATATTGTAAATTTCCATTTTTTTAAATGTTTTGAAAGAAGGGGATATATCATTCACAGAAAACCTGTTGTAAAGTAACTTATATAAAAGTCTCTTTTATGTATTTATACACCCCAACCTCAGCTCTAATTCATTCCCCGGATTAAGAATACGCTCTGTGAGTCCATTAGAATTTGTTCTCATGTTCATGTCAAGATTTCTTATGTGTTTATATATTTAGAAGTTTGTCATTAAATGATGCAGTTGTCTACTTAGTAACACATTGCTGTAATACACTTTTTTTCCAATCAGACTGAGGTGACTGACAAAGACTCTCGTACATGGGGAGTGAACAAATTCGACCTTTCGGGCAACATCGGCATTGAACCTGAGGCGCTTCGTAATGAGCTGGCTGAGATGGGAGTAGACAAACCATTCCTTGTCTTTCCAAATGGTTCCCTGAAGACAAACACATACTTCAAGCCAACCATGTTTGGTTCCTTCTTGCTCAATCTTGCAGTTTATGATAAGGGAGGCCTCAATGATTCAGCTCAGCTCAAGGTAATTACAGAGGAACAGTGGGGTGTTGTTGTTCAAACTGTATAACCAAATATACAGTTGTGTACAATCAACCTGGGAAAGGGCGTCCCCACATAAATGTATTCCTCGATGAGTAAAATACTGGAATACAGAATTTGACTGCAAAAAAAGTTGAAATAAAAGCAAAATGTGAGGCAAACTTTATGATGATGCAGGCGGTGAGAAACAAGACAATTATTTTTTTAGCCTTTAAATGGAGAAAATTATTGAACATTGCAGGTTTTCAAAGAAGGCCAGTTGACAAAGCATTTCTTTGTCACTCGAAAGTACCAATTTTAACTTTCTGACAATTGTGCAGGCGAAATATCAAGTCTTAGTTGTGATTTTGCTGAATATTGAAACATATGTGAGCATAAAGTTGACTGTGTCTTCATTGCTTTATGCTCTGTTGCAGATATCTCTCATCAATGATGACCAAAGACTGAAGGTTGTATTTAGGAGGAGGCTGGAAGACGTCAGCTCAGTCAAGGATTTCTTTACAGAGTGAGCTTGTTTTTCAGGACTTGGAATATGATGAAAATATGATCAAACCTGAAATGCTTGTTATTGTTTTGTGAGATTTAGTAATGACAGTTTTTGGGAATATGTTCTGTGTACAATGAGTGGCAGTGATCTACATTAAAGTAAACATATTTAACTACAGTAAAACATCACAAACCTGAAATTAATGGGATAACCAAGGTATGTAAAGTTACCTGGTAACGTCAGCTGAGACAACAGAGTGCAAATGTTAGACCACAGTGTGTGATAAGGATTCTTCTTCTGGAGGTTTTGCTGCAATAGAATGTCAAGTAGTAAACCAAATAGTATAAATTCCAACATTTCTTCCAGGCGGTTACGGAATATCACAGGTTACAGGATCGTAGTAGACAAGATCTCCACGCATGAAAATGATCAAGGAAAACCAGAGATAGAAAAGTAAGTAAATGCTAGCCATCATGACACAGGGTTGTGTATTTCAGTCAAGTGTCTTTTTGTGTGATAGAGAGAGTTCTAAAATATTCCAGAGTTAAAAGATTAAGAAAATAAGATGCAAATTACAAGTATGGTGTAATATATGGAGTGTGATTAAGGGAGATAACTCTTGTATGTCAGCTAGTCTATTTCGGAGATGCTTGATTGTAGGGTGTGATTACATCATTCATAAGTAAATCAGTTGAATTCACGATTCTGTTTTTGTCAAATGTTTTTGTTTTGTTAATTAAGTTTTCTATTCTTCAGGACTGACATGTTGATACATGGAGAAGACCCCAAAACTGATAAAGTCATACCTGCTGAGGATCTTCTAAAGTAAACTATTACATTTCTGTGGATGTCGTTAAGAGATTTTCTGGATGAAATAAGTAGTTGCTTATGCATGGACGATCATTAGTTCTATCTTCTTACCACTTCAGTGATCATTTGCAACTGTGAGATAATTGTGACGAACAGTAATATTGACTATCATTGTATATATATATATAGGGAATTAGAATTTGGGCCAGGAGAGCTAATTAATCATTCTACTCAATGATACCATTGCTGAAGTTGACTGTAGTAGAAACAGACCCGTGAAGATCCGGGGTAGAATAGGTCTTCAGCAACCCATGCTTGCCGTAAAAGGCGACTATGCTTGTCGTAAGAGGCGACTAACGGGATTGGGTGGTCAGACTTGGTTGATGCATGTCATTGATCCCAATTGCATGGATCGATGCTCATGTTGTCAATCACTGGATTGTCTGGTTCAGACACGATTATTTACAGACCACCGCCATATAGCTAGATTATTGCTGAGTGCAGCGTTAAACAACAAACCAACCAACCGTAGTAGAAACATGGTCAAGGTGTATTTATTTATAAGATGCAACCATTATCTTTTTCAGGTCCATAGATTTCAATGCAGAGCATATGATAGGCATTCTGAACGATTACAATATTGAGAGAATAGTGGTGAGTAGGCCATTGCCAGCTTGTTATCATAAATGTCACTTTGCAAAGAGAACCATGTTCTACAATGTCTTCATGCAAATAGCTAATACTAACACATTATGACATGAAAAGTATTTTTTTGGCTGCTAGTTGTCATTTTTGGGTTAACAATAACTAAGTATGAAACGGTGCTGTTAGTTTCATTGTTTAAATTGATTCCTACTTGTCTTTCTTGGTGTTGAGAACAGACACTTTGATGTCAGTGACTTATCAAGGACTGCTTTCTTGTTGATAGATACCCGATAAATATTACCCTCCCCCCCAATATATTTGAAAACACAGCACATTTTCTTCATTTGAACTGTTTTTAGTTGTTCTCCAAAGGTTACTATTATGAAAATGTAAATTTGGAGATAGAATTCATGAAAAAGACAATTAGAAAATAATATGACCATTTGGGTTGAGTAGAGTAAATTATGCCACTTTGAGCAGTGTTGTGAACATGTCATGGTATATCAGCTTGATGTGGGAGGAAGGTCCAAAGCGATGTAGGTCCTCTGATGGCCCATCGGTTGATGCTCACAGGCCATGCATTTTCATCAGGGAGAATCCTGATTCTAATCCATGATCAGAGGATCCTCATACTGTCAAGGGACACAATTCTACACTGCAACCTTTGATGACTGGGCCACATGAGCCCCCTAAAAAACAATGAAAGAGTGAAACGAGAGATGAATATTTGAATGTATAATTGACTTTTTGGGGTTTTCAAAAAGTTTACATATATTTAAAGGGGTAATCAATTAATGTGAGAAAAAAGGGTATTTTTATGTTTAATAAGCCAATTCCAGTGGCATTCACCAGAATTGCTAATAGTGGATAAAATTTTGTTTCAATTTTTAAAAATCATTGCAAACAGGTTTTACTATGAAAATAATTCTTTGATTTACCAGCCAACAAGTTCCACAACACCACAAAACTCCTCAGAGAAAGAGCTGAAGATGGCCCTTATCCTGGTGTCCGTTATCCTTGGCATGTTGCTGGTGGTCGTCATTGTCACATTCTACATGAGTCGGAGGAAGTCAGTATTTACCATGGCTTTATCTCTTTCCACCCAGCAGTTCAATATGCATCAAAATTTCTTGGATCAAATAGAAATCTTAGGCACATAATGCTACCTGCAAATTGTGTTTCTTTTATAATAGTTGACTTTGTTAATGAAATCAGGAAAATAAGTGAAGGAAATTTAAGAACTATCATATTCTTATCCTTTAAAGACTTCACTTGCAATTTATGTATTTATTAACACGTTCTTTTTACTCTTCAGGTACCAAAGAAAGTTGAAAGCTGCAACAGCCATGGCTTATGGTATGTATTTCAAGCAGACAATATATGTAGATGTATATCTACGATCATGTGGGAGGTGAATGATATTGTTGGTGATGCTTGGGTCAGAATAGATAATTACTGCTGAGTTACAGTGTGAATTTGTTTTATGTTACTATCATGGGGATTGAACAATTTGTGTACAAATGATATTTGAGGAAAGGTATTAGGTCTATTGTAATAATTGGGTCTGAAATAAACGTTTTTGTAGCGAGGTTGTTAGCAGTAATAGTATTTATGTAAATGCTATATGTGACCACTGTACCATGTTTTCTGCAGTCACTCATAATGGAGCTGGTAGGTTGAGATTTTGTCTTTGTGAATGTCCCCTAACTCTCCCTGTGTCTGTGGGGTCTCAGTGACTGGCCTGTTGACACTAGTCACTGAGCAGTCCAAGGTTCCTTCTGAATCTCTCTTGTGAAGACGGTCAACATGCCACACCATGGCTGGCCTCAATACATACCATAATAAGAAACTGGACAGTCATCAAGATAACATTATTTATCTTGCGACTTTTTTCGTAATAATTACATTTTACAGGCTATAATTTTGTCATTTTGTTCAGGCTTTCAATACATACCATCATGCTGTTGTACAAAGTGATCTTAGCGCTAAGGTGATTGTAATTCCCATACCTCAACATAGACTTACGACAGTCGTAGCACTAAGGTGGTTTTGTACAATGGCACCCAGATGAATAGTAACATATTACATCATATGGAACTAATATGGAAGATAATAGGCATAGAATCGAAATTGTATTCTCATAGGTGACACAATGGTGTGCACCTTCAGGAACCTTGTACATGTACTAATTGTGGCAGGACCTGTTGACCCTGACTGAACCCTTAGTGATGATAGACCCTGGGCAGTGTTCAACAAGGTGTCCCAGTGCTAGGACTATTCTAAGTCCATGTTAATGTGAAAGAATTATGACAGTCCTAGCACTTAAATCCCCTTGAGAACACAGAAGATTGCTGCCATTTTGCTAGTTGCAGCATGTGTGTGTCAACAGAAATTTGTTTCCTATGGGAAAAGTGTTCCTAGAACTTGTTATGAATCTCAATGTCACTACAGAAACAAGCATACATTACATAATCATATTGATCGTGCCAAAGAGTAGCCTCAAGTCTATGACAATTCTAAGGTTATGGTATTGAATTGGAGTTCCAATAAAGCATTGTGGGAGGGGACCAAGGCATACTGCCCTTTGCCACCACAACTGATGTAGCTCCTATAATCTTAAGAACCTGGGGCAACCTAGTGGTTAAACGTTCACATCCGGGTTCATTTCCCCGCATGGATACAATGTGTGAAGCCCATTTCTGGTGTCGCCTGCCATGATTTGGCTAGAATGGAAAATGGCGTAACACCAACTCACTCACTCCTATAATCTAACATGAACTTAAAATTGTTGTAGAGTTCACATCAGTTTGTGGCAATGAAATCTAAACTCTAGTGTGAGATCGCTCTATGAACACTTTCTTTTGGGAACCATTTCTCTCAAGAGAACCAACATCCAGTTCTGTAGTAATGTGTGTGAATGCTCCTCTCATGTCTCCTGTCCTGGCATGATTGTATTAGATGGCATTATCTACATTCATGTATGTTTATTTTTGCATGTGAGTCTCTTTTTTCTTCTGTACAAACTGTAAATCCTTTATTCTGCTTTTAATTATTTATGCACGTGTAAGAAAAGTAATTTAATATATGTGATTAACCAAATATTAATGAAAACCTCCATGTCTATCTGTGCCCCTGATGCCGGTTTGTCTGTGTCCGTAACATAGGGATTAGCCTTGTAACAGTGTGCAGCCTGGGGGACTGTAAGAACACAAAGGCCATGATGTCCCCTCTCTGCTTGTGTTGTGTCCTCTAACTGAGGGGGGCGGTCGGGTAGCCTAGTGGTTAAAGCGTTCGCTCGTCACGCCGAAGACCCGGGTTCGATTCCCGACATGGGTACAATGTGTGAAGCCCATTTCTGCTGTCCCCCGCTGTGATATTGCTGGAATATTGCTAAAAGCGGCGTAAAACCATTCTCACTTACTCTAACTGAGGTCTGTACAAAGGAACTGGAATTGCTCAGCAACTGGTACAAGCATTTAGAAATATCCTGAAGAGTTTGAAGTTCATATATATAGAGATATTTCACCAAGAGCATCCATCTTTAGATACGTGCTCATGATTGTACTGTGGGGGCGGTCGGGTAGCCTAGTGGTTAAAGCGTTCGCTCGTCACGCCATAGACCCGGGTTCGATTCCCGACATGGGTACAATGTTTGAAGCCCATTTCTGGTGTCCCCCGCCGTGATATTGCTGGAATATTGCTAAAAGCGGCGTAAAACCATACTCACTCACTCACTCATGATTGTACTGTAGAATTATAAACCTGAAAAGTACAGACATACAGAGTAGTTTGAAAAGCTATTTTACCTGTTTGAGGAAAACAAGTTTGTTTTTGATTACCGGTAGTCTGTTTTATCACATGCAAATACACGTGTATTTTGCTATTTTTGTTTGTTTTGTACAATTCCTACTACTTTTGCTTCAAAGAATGTCTCCAAAGAAAGATTGATAAGAAAATATTTTTTCACCAATGATGGTGTTATGGCTATTTCAGACACTGCTTTGAGCCCAGCTGTATATCGCCATAAAGGTGTTTCTCCTCTCATATAGTTTTGTTTGTTCATTATTTGGTTCCAATTCTTCAGTGTGGACTAAATATGTTCGTTAACTGTGGGTTTGAATTTCAGGGTTGATTTTCTAACAGAATGTTTCAAGTTTCACACATGAAATGTATATCTTTTGGAAATTTATGGAAATTATGTTTGAAATATAGGCAAAAAAACTCTTTTCATGATTATATGAAATCGCTGCTAAGAGCAGAGTCTATTGTATAATTGCATCTCAATCACAAATATGTGTTTATGAATCACTGTCAAATTTTAAACATTTTCAAAATCATTTCTAAAGAAAATTCTTGCAAAGTACATATAAACATGATAAGTTCTATAACACTTTTAAGACATTTCAACTCCAAGTCATGAATTGTCTTTCATAATGTTTTTGTAAATAAAAGAATCAAGAAAGTAAATATGAAGTAACACATTTCTTTAAGATGCATGTTCAGAGAAAGTCAGGCAAGAAAGTTATATACATGTATGTGTAGGATACAGACTTGCTGACTGATACTTGACCAATACATTATTTCCGTAATCTCCAACATGTATGCTTCATGTGTCATATCTTAGTTGGTGTTGATACTTTGTTTTTGTCTCTCCCAAGGATTTCTCAAACTCCAGGTATCACGGGTCTAACGCCCCACATGACATAGGCTAGGCATGGGGTCATGCCTCACAATCGGTACTACTTTAGTGACAACAGTTCCTGAGTGGCAGTACCTCTAACAGCTTAAACACTAACTTTGTATTCTAGATGAGTAACACACAACACTGGCTTCATCTTATTACCATCACACCTTTCTTTCCCATCCCAGGATAAGACCAGCTGTAGATTGCATTGCCAGCATTTCAGTGTTATTGCATATGTTGCTCTTACAATTTATATTGCAAAAACATTTTATCATGGTTAAGAAGCAATCTCATTAAAATCAGATCTTAGTTCTCGCTATCGCTAAACAAAGATCTGAGGACATCCTATTACGGGTCACGTCAGAACGACTTTTCATCCAACCAATCAGAGCGTCGCTTACCAGATTATGAAAGTGACAGTAGGAATGTGTTTTCTTATCATGCAACCACGAAATGTTTTACACGGGGTATTCCGAACGATATATATAATTTATATATCCATTACAATCTAGGCCATCTATAAGCCATTCCAGAATTTTTTTAATCGAGAATGCGTCAAAATATGTTTCGAAGCGTAGTCGCCAATTTGAAACTAGTGTCGTAAAGCTCGAGAAAGCTGCCTTCTGATTGGCTAATGTCGATTTCTTGTCAGTCATTTCATTGGTCAGTCAAAATTCGCGAAAGGTCGTTCTGACATGACCCATAATGGGATGTCCTCAGATCTTTGTTTAGCGGTAGCGAAAACTAATATCTGATTTTAATGAGATTGGGTTAAGAAGATATTTCTTCTCAATGCAATGCATTTAATGGGTAACACTGACTAAGGGCTTTATAGTCAACTCCTACATACACCGATTTATACAAACCAACTCATGCTTTCAGAGTATGCCTAATTGTTAATAGAGAAATAAGTAAATATTTCGGCAGAACCCTACTTTAAGAATGACAAATTTGCCACCCTGTTTAAATTTATACAGACCGAAATACACCCATCATCAATGCACAGTTTTGTAAACTTCTCAGACGTCATGATACTAACTTTTGCTTGTGTAATGTAGTGTATTTTCAATGTAAAGATAAGTAAAAGTAAATGTTTTTAATGTACAAGACCTACTTGTGTATGATGATGCTATGTTTGTCTGGGTATGTGGTACAAATGTGGTTATCATTGGTCTCTGTATGAAAGAGGTGATAAGTTCTGCCTTCAGGCATTATGTAGAAACACTGTAGCTTATACATGGGAACCATCACTTTGATATTTCCCTGAGACCACAATGCGATCTTAGCTCTAAGATGATCGTAACTCCCATACTTTAACATAGTCTTATGATAGTCTAAGGGCTAAGATCACTTTGTGCAAGTGGGTCCAGAAGTGCAAAAGTATAAGTGCTGTATTACAAACATGTCTTAACCTTTCTTATTCTCTTCACTAATGTTTCCCATTCTTTTGCTAACATAAACAACCAATGCACCAACTTTGCACCTTTGTATTAGCAGATATTTAAAAATATCCTCCACATCGTTTGACTGCATTGGCTTTAATGTTATTTGATGATTCATTTCATTAGTGGACATCTGGTTTTCAAATGTACTCAATTGTGTTCAGTTGCTAGTGAATGTCTGTCAGTGTGTTAGTAAATGTTTGTATGCTAAAATAATTAAAAAAAATATATGTTTATAATTTGTTACTAGCAGATTTATTCTGTTCATAGACTCACAAATGTTTCATGTGACTATAAATGTGCATTTTAGAAACATTTCATACTTTTGTTCGTAATACTTTAATGCACATTATATATGCTGCCTAATTATTTGCTGCTTGTTAGGTTTTTTAATTAGTTTTTAGTCCATTAGTTAATTTAGTTTAAATACATATTGGTTATAGAAGCATAGCTATGCACATGCACTTTGTGTATATATGCATGTTAGAAAACCAATAGTCAGTCATTATTTATAGTGGACAAATAAAGTCCATTCTTCAACAATAAGTATGTTTACAGTAGTGTACAAAGCAACAGATCATAGCATAATTTGCACAGTAATTTATGAAATTGTATTTAAGTAAATTTGGAAAGATCATATTAATAATTAACATAGATAAATATTCTTGACTTCCTCGAGAAAGGATAAGATTATGCCACTGCTTGTCTAGGTCAAGGTCAAGGTCATGTTGTAGATACCTGTATTTGTCTCTTCCAGGTTCCCAGGACTCGGACCTGTACAAGCTGGAGATGCCAGGCACCAACATCCACTCTTACGAGAAGTGAGTATGATTGCCGTCTAAAGGCACAGATATCAAGAAATGAAATTTCAAATAATGTAGAAATTAAAATTGTTTTGTCATTTCAAGTCCGAGTTTAAATATTCACAATCAGAAGTTGTTACATTATTGTAAACATTTGAGATAGTTGTCATGTTCTGTTGATGATACTTGCATGATTATTTTCAGTTTCGCTCCTATTTTAGGAAATAGTTCATGATTTATTTTGATATTTTTTATTAGCATTCATGCATTAAATCTTCTGAGGGTGTAGTATGAGTTTCCCCAGATTTCATCTCTTGGTTCTCTTAGTATACCAGTAGTTGTGAGGAGGACGTGTTGCTGTATCCCTGTTCATTTTCTGATGTTTGATAGTATCCATTTTCATGAATTATACCTGGCATTGCTTTGTTTCCTCCCCAATAACCTCAGACCAAGAATGTATGAGGGTCAGACGAGATTTTAGCGTACGTGGGTATCCAAAAACTTCATGTTGCCTTTCCTTTTGTATCATAAAGTGTTTGTTGTTGCATGATCGGATTGGCTTCTCACTATTGACCAACAAACATGATGGCTGAAAGTGTAGCTGAATCCACCTACACCTATCAGAAATAGAGACTTCTTGACAACTGTCAATTCCTTTGAAACGTGTCTCATGTCAATCACAAATCCTACTTTGTGTATAGGTAGCTGTGAATCTGCACATTTTAAATGCATGCTCTATACCATACATATTTGTCATTTTTCTAAAACTATTTCAGAATGAACTTGTAATACACCATTGAGTAGGCTGTCCTCTGTTTTGTGCATGCATTGCATAGCAGGAACACTCAATACCAGCCAGTTCAGTTCATTTCCCTTGTTTGCTTCCCTCCACATCTTCTGTTGGTTATATTTATTTGGCATGAATCTTGCTTTTTAAATTCCAGCCTGGATTAACTTTAGGATAAGAATTAACACTTTTTATGAGTTTTATAAACTGAGTTTACCTACTTGGTGATTCGGATTTTATCTCGGAAATTTTGGTGTTTATAAATAATAAATATTGATAACCATTTGGACGGGTGTATTAACTGTTGTATGCTAATGATATACATGACATACATCGTGAAGTCAAATCCTAGAACCAGACCCAGGTGTGCATGATTGCCCCAGTGGATACTGTCAGTAAAGTTTGGACTGTGTTGTGTATGTGATTCTACCCTTACTTGTCTCCCCTTTTAGTTGGAACTGTTCATTGTGATGCACCACAGACTACATCTCTTTATCATGTACCCGTGAAGATCCGGGGTAGAATAGGTCTTCAGGAAGCCATGCTTGCCGTAAAAGGCGACTATGCTTGTCGTAAAAGGCGACTAACGGGATCTGGTGGTCAGGCTCGCTGACTTGGTTGATGCATGTCATCGATCCCAATTGCGTGGATCGATGTTCATGATGTAAATCACTGGATTGTCTCGTTCAGACTCGATTATTTACAGACCGCCGTCATATAGCTGGAATATTGCTGAGTGCGGCGTTAAACAACAAATAAACAAACAACAAACAAACTTTATCATGTTGTATTGTAAAATAACAAACAACTTGAAAATAACCAACTTCATGTATTAACTTAAGAAGATTGAAATGAATCTAAATAAGTTGTAATAGTGTATGTTCTATTATCCATTGACAATAATTATTGTTATCTTTTCATTTTATCACGTTAAAGGACTGTTGGATAATTCAGTTTTTCTCTTTGTGTTTACTTGAATTGATCTTATTTCAAATGGATATATGAAAACGTGTGAAGTCAGATTTAGCTATTGACAGTGATGTTGGGTGTCACACGTCTGGTCCCTCTCCTGGAAAGTTCAACATTATTCACAAATAAAAGCCTCATGCATTTCCCCCCTCCCCCTCTCTAGAAGTAGAAGTCATTTCACATATTGCTATCTATAGGTTTAGCAGAGAGTATGCTGATCATTCTAAAAGTGGCGCTGAAAAAATGAAACAATTGGTTCGTAGTCAATGACCTGTCAAGTGGGCTGATTAATAATTAACTGATGAGGGCATTGTCAAAGAACCAAATATTGTTTTTTCAGCCTATGTGATATTATGTTTATAGCCCATGTTGTACATTTCAGTGCCAACCCCATCTACCTGGAGAAGATCCTGCTGGACCAGGTGGATGATGACGGGTGAGTCCATCTCGAAGCAGGGGAGGGGTGGGCAGGTAGCTGTAGTCTTATGTGGCACGACATTCTAGTGTGTGTAAATGTTGCACTGTTCATAATGCTATTTTCAGGGAAGAAAAATAGTCAGTGAAAGATTCAAAGAAAGCATGTTTAATTTATATAAACATAGTCATGTTCCTTAAGAATAATGATTTATAAGATCAGTTTCTGTTGTCCTAAGGTTGAAGTGGTCAGATTAAGGCTTATGTATTAGATGGGCATGGGAATATTTGTTTAATTTTTCAAACAATCCAATGAAAGAATTAAGCAGTTTGATTTCAAGCTAATTTTGCATCAACAGTAAGACTTCCGCCCGTATCTCTCTCTCTCTCTCTCTCTCTCTCTAAAAGATAAAAGGATTGAGCACACGGTATGAAACATATAATAATAACAGGGGATATGGGTGGAAGTCTTTCCGTATCAACTGTCACTTATGTGCTGTGTTTGTTGAGGTTAGATAGAATCATAGGTGCACTTGTGGCTGCATGGTTTTAGTAACATTTGTATATTCAGTTAATGTGGTGTTTTGTTTGACTCCATCCAAACACGTTCACCTTTTGATAGTAGCCTGCATGTTCTTCCGTGGTAGGTTATTGTTTTGAGGAGTGAAACTAGGTTTAAATATTCGGCAGTTTTGATGTGTGACTGTAGGCTCATACTCTGTCTCAAGAGGTAAAATTCATCACCATTTCTGTATTACCTATTAAGTCAAGGGGCAGTCGGGTAGCCTAGTGGTTAAAGTGTTCGCTTGTCTTGCTGAAGACCCGGGTTCGATTGCCGACATGGGTTCAATGTGTGAAGTCCATTTCTGGTGTCCCCTCCCATGATATTGCTGGAATATTGCTAAAAGGAGCGTAAAACCTCACTCACTCACTTATTAAGTCACATGTATGTAACAGGAAGTAGGATTGTTGCATTAAGCCCATAATTGATATTTCTTTGATGAAGAAGCTCAAATTGTTTTCATTTCTTGTGGAGATGTATTTGCTATATACATACCTTATCTATGGTACTGATCTCTGTGAACTGTGCTTAGTAGCTAATGAACAGATCTGAGAAGTATTCCGCATCTTGGCTCTTATGACATTCTTATCAACTTATAACTGTTGATTCACATCGGCCATCGCCATACTTAATCTAATACCTCCCAATGATATGACTATTTCTGCATCATAAATGAGCACATTTTCCCAATTATTTACTTGTTTTAGCATGAACATTTTAACACCTTTTATTTAGCACCACAACCTACCTATTTCGATGATTACAAAACTTACCTGACAGGATTTGATCATATGTTCCAAACAACATATTCCTTAGCATTGGTCTTGTGAAACACCATTTCACCCTACCCTTCGATGCTGTAGAAGAAGAAATGAAATGCTTCAGTTGCTATAGTGATTAACACGTTATGTTTCCATTTCAAAATTGTGTAGAAATACAGCAACAGCTTAAGGTAAGAGCCAGCTGAAAGTGTTCAGTCAGATTTATTCTTTATTTGACTGTTTGCAGTACATTTCTTCCTTCCAAGCTTCAATGCACCTTCCTCCAAGACGTTTGACATTCCTTTCCTGCTTTTGTATGTTAAGTTTTAGTGAAGGAACATTTGGATGTGCTTAATGAAGTCTGACAAAACTTGTCGAATAAATTCCAAATTTTAGGACATCACATACATATATATGGTTCCATTTGTTTATATCCAAGTGTGCTCAACAGGTCAGCTTCAATGTACGAGGCAGTATTTATCCCAAATTATCAAATGACATTACATTTAAAATCATGTTTATCTACATACCATCTCAAATGATACTCCCTATCTGGATAGCCATTGTCCAAGACATTTGTACTGTCATTTTATTAAATTTGTTTTTTGCCTCTTAGGTTTTTTTCATAACTTGGTTTATGGATGTTTACTCTGAGTTTTAATATTTTAAGTTAGTTAGTTTATGATGACCCTTTGATGCAATTCAAAATACAACATTTTCTTTTTTTCTTTATAAAGAGATCATTTCATAAGACATGTTTATATCATTATGATTTCATTTGTGTTGTTCTTTTCCTGAGAGTTACTGTATGTTTCATGCACTTCCTCTAACATTGCACAAACACTTTTTGATGCACACGCTCATCCTAGGTGCCAGAACGGTGCATAACTGCATGCATATATGCTTGAATTGATCCATGTGTGCAGTTTGTGATGTAGATAGTGAGTTTGCAGTTGCATGAATATTTTTTCAGGAACTGAAAAGTTATTTTCTGAGTATAATTATTATTATAACTCTTTGTGATAACATTCTATCACATATCCTTTTCTTTTGTTTCTTTTGATTATGTAATCCCATTTACTGGTGTGTGTTAAAGGAAATATATTTTAACTGTTATTGAAGTTTTGAAATATAAAAGAAATTGAAGTTTATTCTTTCTTTGTTTATGCTTCAGACAGAATATTTGGTTTTGGTTCAGACAGAATACTTGTTTATGGTTCAGACAGAATACTTGTTTATGGTTCAGACAGAATATTTGGTTTTGGTTCTTACAGAGTATTTGGTTATGGTTCAGACGGAATATTTGGTTTTGGTTCCTACAGAGTATTTGGTTTTGGTTCAGACAGAATATTTTGTTTTGGTTCCTATAGAGTATTTGCTTATGGTTCAGACAGAATATTTGGTTTTGGTTCTTCAAGAATATTTGGTTTTGGTTCAGACAGAATGTTTGGTTTTGGTTCCTACAGAGTATTTGGTTTTGGTTCAGACAGAATATTTGGTTTTGGTTCCTAAAGAGTATTTGGTTTTGGTTCAGACGGAATATTTGGTTTTGGTTCAGACGGAATATTTGGTTTTGGTTCCTACAGAGTATTTGATTTTGGTATAGACAGAATACTGGGTTTTGATTCAGACAGAATATTTGGTCTAAGTTCCTAAAGAGTATTTGGTTTTGGTTCAGACAAAATGTTTGGTTTTGGTTTCTACAGAATATTTGTTTATGGTTCAGAGAGAATGTTTTATTTTGGTTCCTATAGAGTATTTGCTTATGGTTCAGACTGAATATTTGGTTTTGGTTCCTACAGAATATTTGATTATGGTTCAGACAAAATATTTGGTTTTGGTTCTTACAGAGTATATGGTTTTGGTTCAGACAGAATATTTGGTTTTGGTTCCTATAGAGTATTTGGTTTTGGTTCAGACAGAATATTTGGTTTTGGTTCAGACAGACTACTTGTTTATGCTTCAGACAGAATATTTGGTTATGGTCCAGACAGGATATTTGGTTTTGGTTCCTACAGAGTATTTGGTTTTGGTTCAGACAGAATATTTGGTTTTGTTTCCTACAGAGTATTTGCTTATGGTTCAGACAGAATATTTGGTTTTGGTTCTTACAGAGTATTTGGTTTTGGTTCAGACGGAATATTTGGTTTTGGTTCCTACAGAGTATTTGGGTTTGGTTCAGACAGAATGTTTGGTTTTGGTTCCTAAAGAGTATCTGGTTTTGGTTCAGACAGACTACTTGTTTATGCTTCAGACAGAATATTGTTCATGGTTCAGACAGAATGTTTGGTTTTGGTTCCTACAGAGAACTTGGTTTTGGTTCAGATAGGATATTTGGTTTTGGTTCCTGCAGAGTATTTGGTTTTGGTTCCTACAGAGTATTTGGTTTTGGTTCAGACAGAATATTTGGTTTTGTTTCCTACAGAGTATTTGCTTATGGTTCAGACAGAATATTTGGTTTTGGTTCTTACAGAGTATTTGGTTTTGGTTCAGACGGAATATTTGGTTTTGGTTCCTACAGAGTATTTGGGTTTGGTTCAGACAGAATGTTTGGTTTTGGTTCCTATAGAGTATCTGGTTTTGGTTCAGACAGACTACTTGTTTATGCTTCAGACAGAATATTGTTCATGGTTCAGACAGAATGTTTGGTTTTGGTTCCTACAGAGAACTTGGTTTTGGTTCAGACAGGATATTTGGTTTTGGTTCCTACAGAGTATTTGGTTTTGGTTCCTATTGAGTATTTGCTTATGGTTCAGACGGAATATTTGGTTTTGGTTCCAATAGAGTATTTGGTTTTGGTTCAGACAGAATACTTGGTTTTGATTCAGACAGAGTATTTGGTTTTGGTTCAGACAGAATATTTGGTTTTGGTTCCTATAGAGTATTTGCTTATGGTTCAGACAGAATATTTGGTTTTGGTTCTTACAGAGTATTTGGTTTTGGTTCCTATTGAGTATTTGCTTATGGTTCAGACGGAATATTGGGTTTTGGTTCCAATAGAGTATTTGGTTTTGGTTCAGACAGAATACTTGGTTTTGATTCAGACAGAGTATTTGGTTTTGGTTCAGACAGAATGTTTGGTTTTGGTTCCTATAGAGTATTTGCTCATGGTTCAGACAGAATATTTGGTTTTGGTTCTTACAGAGTATTTGGTTTTGGTTCCTATTGAGTATTTGCTTATGGTTCAGACGGAATATTTGGTTTTGATTCAGACAGAGTATTTGGTTTTGGTTCAGACAGAATGTTTGGTTTTGGTTCCTATAGAGTATTTGGTTTTGGTTCAGACAGAATGTTTGGTTTTGGTTACTACAGAGTATTTGGTTTTGGTTCAGACAGAATGTTTGGTTTTGGTTCCTACAGAGTATTTGGGTTTGGTTCAGACAGAATGTTTGGTTTTGGTTCCTACAGAGTATTTGGTTTTGGTTCAGATGGAATATTTGGTTTTGGTTCCTACAGAGTATTTGGTTTTGGTTCAGACAGAATACTTGATTTTGATTCAGACAGAGTATTTGGTTTTGGTTCAGACAGAATAATTGGTTTTGGTTCCTACAGAGTATTTGTTTATGGTTCAGACAGAATATTTGGTTTTGGTTTCTTCAAAATATTTAGTTTTGGTTCAGACAGAATACCTGGTTTTGGTTCAGACAAAATATTCCTCAGTGGAAAAAGTAGAAATGATTTATTTTGGTGAACAGTTAAAAGTATTCAACAATGTACAATGACAAATTTCCTGTACTCATTTTGAATCTCCCCTAAGTTTCCTTAGAAGTTGTTATGTACCCCTGTAATATCATTTTCTAAGACATCGTCCCTTTCTGTAATTTTTCAGGTCTTCCATATACACTGTACAACTAGTGCAGAACTCTGTTGCTATTTATCTGCAATATGGCCAGCATTTCATATCAGTACTTTGCTTATCCAGTTTAGTTTTATTTAAAAGATTCCTAAATTATCAATTTCCTTTCCATTTCCCACTGTACAACATGGTATCTTTTCTTGGTCCCAAGACATCCTTCAGTAATATTTGTGAATGTATTGTGGAGCCTATATGACGAAAGAATAGGACTGATGCTTGTGACAAGTCATTATAAACCACCTGTATCATCATTATTTTATTGTGATATACATGGTATCATCACTCTTTGATAGTGAAATAGTTGATATCATCACTATTTGATAGTGAAATAGTTGGTATCACCACTATTTGATAGTGAAATAGTTGGTATCATCACTATTTGATAGTGAAATAGTTGGTATCACCACTATTTGAATGTGATACACCGGGTATTTTCACAATTTGATGGTTTGGTTTGTTGTTTATTGCCACACTCATCAATATTCCAGCTGTATCATGGCAGTCTGTAAATAATCAAGCCTGGACCAGACAATCCAGGATTTGACATCATGAGCATCCATCAAAGCTGTTGGCATATGATGACATGTATCAACCAAGTCAGCGATCCTGACCACCCGATCCCATCGTCTCTTTTGACAAGGATGGACTGTTGATGACCAATTCCAACCCAGAATCTTTCACGGGACACTTTGTGATAGTGATACACCTGGTATCATCACTATTTGATAGTGCCCCATTAATACATACTTATGATAGTGCCCGGAATCCCACAATGAATGCTGCTTTCAGCAGAGATTTCTTATGATTAATGAAAGGGTTGTGTCACATTTATTTAATGATCATTATGTTTCAGGCAAAACTCCCTGGATGAAAATGCAGTGGATCCTGGACAACCCTTTGATGAGCAGGAGGTTTCTATGAATATCTTCCCTGAGGATAAAGATTTCACTAACAGTCTTTCTTCTACTGACCTCTATCTTAAAGCAGCTCTCAATGAACACGAAACTTCCAGAAACCTTAAAAATCATGACATTTCCAAGAAGTTTCAACACACAAATGGGAAACTCAAGATTACCAATGGACATGCTCATAAAGACAACGATGTCATTACTACGAGAAATGTTGATGGTTTGCAGACAACAGAAATCTAGAGATATTAATGTATCATTTATGATAACATATATCAGAGGTGCTGAATCTTTAACAGTTAATCTATGTGATGACAGTTTTTATCTTAACTATAGCTGTACATACTAGCTCAACACAAGCCATCAATGATGATTTGGTTTCTATGGTTACTGCCATAAAAGCCAACTCAGTATTTTTATATCCATGTGATGAACACTTTAATTAATTATGTGATGTTTTTAAGTTATTATGAAAGTATGCCTCTAACTGCAACACATTTCAAGTGAGTCTTGACGTTGTCACCATATGGATGTTGATGATTGTTGTTGTGCTCCAACAGTGCTTTCAAGAAACTGGACATGAGTGTGTTCAACTTTAAGAATGAAGTTGAGACAAGAGTTTGAAATGACATTGGTATTGTGCTTCATTAATGCAACTGATGCTGTATTTATGCAACTGGTGGTGTCCCAGGTCTAACTTGTCCAGCTTCAGAACACTGAAATTGGTATATGTTATTGTGTCAGAACACATGCATCATTTCAGACTTGTATCAGGAATACTTTATGGGACATAGTACCTGCCACAATTGTGTGAAAGTGGCAGTCAGTCACTTCTCAACATAAACCATGGACATTGAGTGGTTTAGAAGTGGTATGAGAAACATTCAGCAGAATGAAAATCAGTGGTATGTGGAGAAGACTGAAGACCATATGAACACAGAATTGGTTAATGACATCATACTGTCATATCCTGTGCATTGTTGTGACAGAATATTTGTGCTGTACAGGATGTGGTGTAACGTGGATGCCAGGCCACTGTCACTATGTGAATCTGTCGCTGGAGACCCAACCATAGGTTTCACCAGGCCTGGAATCCTTGCAGGCCTGGAATCCTTGCCCATGTGGATCAAGCAGACACTGAAGTGATAACAGTGTAACAGATGTAACAATGATGTGGAGTTGTGATGGGACATGTTACCATTGATTAACTAGTCAACCACTTCAGCATGTGATGTGCCCTGACCTGGTCCAGATGCCCATGATACATTAACACTGGTAGAGATGTTGAAGTATCAAGGGAGAGGAAGATGCCACGCTGCCTCCAGACAATCACAGAGCATGCATCCAGATTGCCCTCCAGGTTGTGAGATGATGAACAATGGCATATGCTGCTTGGGCTGGGAAATAGGAACTTAGAGGATGACAGTGTGATAAGGTACCCGGACAGTTGGAGTGGGAGAAATGTATATGCTACATCATGGGGATGGACAGGATGAGTACATTTGAATCTGACAGTTGTGCTGCATCCAGGTGTTGAATAGGATATGACGATGAACATGTGAAAATAGAATATGATGCATCAATGTTTTATACAAAAAGGGTTTGTATGAATATAAGAAATGTGATAGCTTGTTCATAGCATCGCTTTAATGTTATATAAGACATGCAAATGTACTCAGGAATGATGCATGCTTTCAGTGAAACTATTACTCAGTCTTTGTAATCAGCCTTTATCTGAACCACAGTGTGTTTGGTGAGTGTTTTGTTCATTTCTATTCCTTTGTCTTGTCAGTTAAGTTTGTAGCTTGATAATGTTTTGTACTTTCAAAGTGGAAAATGTTAGATATTGTGTGGTTCTGAAGTGTATTTATGCAGACATTGTGTTTATGCATTGTCTTATAAGAACAAACAAAATCAAAACCAAGGAATGTTATCACGTTGAGTCTCCATTAACAATGACTTGCCACATATTTTCATATTTGTCTTAATAATAAAACTTAATCTTGTTGATTTCTGCAATATGTATGTTCTTGTATATAATATGACCACGTTGTTACATATTTTTGACACACTAAGTTCTATATATTTTATATGCAGATATAGTATAGATAAAAATATTATAAAAATCAAATTTGTTATTGTGTTAAGAATATGTATAACTCTTTGAGCATTGTGAAATTTCAGTTGCACAGATACAAATTAATTCACTGAACACATGTACTTATTGGTAACTAATAGTAAATGTAGATACTGAGATGTATTGTTTTGTATACATGTGTATATACAGTAATGGAGAGGAGCAGCCAGTATCGAGACCATGTGATATCAAACGAAATCCACCTCGCTTGCATGTGTAGTCAGGTCTTAATTCAGTACTTTCAGAATCATTATTTTTTACACAAGACTTTCCATTTTTCATACATAACGCTTTGGATTTATGGGATTTTAATAATTAATTCTCAAAATTATGTTTTCTTGACTGGGATGTTGATCATCATTTAAAAATAGAAAATCAATTCTTCGTCTGATGTTATGGTTTTAGTTCATTCATTTGAATTTTTTAGAAAAAAAACCACTTGTTTTCTTACATAACGCTTTGGATTTATGGGATTTTAATAATTAATTCTCAAAATTATGTTTTCTTGACTGGGATGTTGATCATCATTTAAAAATAGAAAATTAATTCTTCGTCTGATGTTATGGTTTTAGTTCATTCATTTGAATTTTTTAGAAAAAAAGAACTTGTTTGGTTTTCTTATAATAATTTTACTCGTGAATATTTAAATTGATATATTTTATTTGTTTTTATTTCTCTCATGTCCTAAAGGGCTTTAATTAGACTTTGCCTGTACATACATGTAGTAGGGTTCCATGTTAGTAATCATGAATCATTGTACATAACCATTTGTATTAAACCAAGCCGGACTTGGTTGTTGATGTATCACTCTGAGTGTACCATCCTGTGCATATTGTGTGGAGAGGGAAATGATCAGCTGCTTGCAAGCCTCACTGAAGACATAAGACTTGGTGTTTTCATAGTAATATGTATCAGACATACATGTGATGCTTGAGATGTGAGACTCACTGTTAAGCACACAGTACCCTGTATGTGCTTACCTTGCCCACCTCCTTCATGATCAAAATGCATTAGGCAAGTGACTTTGTTTGAAATGTGCCTCTGTTCACCCAGCAGTGAGTGGGTACCCGGTAGGATGCGATGGTAATGTGACTGTTAACCTTCATGCGCCTCACAGGCACCTGGGGTTGTATACTCCCCAGGGAGCTGAGAATGAAAATCGAGTGCTCACTGATCCATTGACCAGGGTAATAATAGTGTAGCGCTATCAGCATCCACTTGGTGAATGAATCTGGCACAATATAAATGCAATTATTATTATAATTATTACTTGCTGAGGAATGTGAATGCAAATTGCTACTGTTGGAGGACAGTTGACTGGATATTTAAAAATGTACTCTGTATGTTATGAATCTAGTAAATCCTGATCATGATGATAAACAATTATTCTCAGATGGCTGCAATAATCAGTGGAATCAGGTTGGTATCAGTCAGCATTTTAACGTCCCTATGTACTTGCCTCAATGTATACAGGTAATCAATTAAGTTAAATCCTGTGATATTTCTGGGAAGTGTTTATTTATTTCCATTGTATTGTGTTTCTTGCCATTGAAGCTACAACTTCCTAGTCCACCAGTATGTAACCTAAGGTATTCCTCCCTAGTCTGCCGCCATTGTCTCAGTAAAGAGCCAGATCTATGCATCTACTGTATATGATTACATAAATCTCATAGCTTATCCATGTTCAGTTTGTGTGCAAAGCATTAAGAAAACTAAGTATGATAGCTTCATATACCTGAATAGGCTTGATGACTGGAGCTACTACCTGTGTGACGACTAGCATTAATCACAGCATGATAAAGAACAGAGAGATACTGGAACTAAGTTATTTAGTTTTGGTGAGGGGGTGTTAACCATTGATTTACATTATTATCGTTAGAATTTGTGTCATGAGTTCCTAATGTAAAAATACAGGCCTATGTCAATGCGCACTATTTGGTATAAAGTTTGTCAACATCTAAAGTACATGTAAACATAAATATTAAATGTTGATACCAGAATTATCAATCTTGATTGTCTGCCGAAACAGAAATGCTTTGTATGAAGACAGACAGCAGTTTGTTGGAAATTAAGGCTTTTAGTTAGTATTTCAACTTTGGATTAATCTCATTTAACTGTTAATGATGGATTTTTACAGATTATGAATGTTAATTTTACACTACTATTTATCTCATGACTGACAGAATGAAAAAATATTTCCTTTTAACCTAGAGTATTGAAATCACTGTTGCTTCTGTGTATGGAGAAAGCACAGTTTCCTAAGAGATTTGTTGTCCATATGTTGTTATGGTAACTATGCATCATCCATTGTGATTCACATTGTTGAGAATAAATACTGTAAAATAATGTTATTTGTGTTTGTGTTTCTGTCTTGGTCATACCTGCTGAAGATATGCAGATTCTGTATACTCTTGGAATTATCCATTGGTTGTAGGTAAACTGTGATGGGGATTCCATAGGTCAAACACACCAGACATCAGTGTACCACCGCCAATACATCTGACAATATTCACTAAAACTGGATAAAAAGGGAGACAATAGTTGGCATTTGTTTTCATGTGCCCACGCTATCGAAGCACACATAAAATCCAGATTCACGTTATGCGTTGGTTATCATTGACCGTTGTATACTAAAGCCATAGCGAGAGCGATGTTCTTCTGACCATGTTTAGAGTGAGTGAACGTCACATAAACATTATTTCAGCCACATAGCTACGAACATGTCAAGAAGAGTTGTATTCAACCTGTATCAGTTATTACATGTCACGCAGGTCGTCGTTACCCATGATGTATGTACGGTGCTAACACACAAAGATCATAATTAGGGAAAATCTGGGAGTGGGATCATTATCAGCAGATCCTGGTACAAGTGAGGAGCGCAACTCCACACAGTGAATTGGGACACCTCAGAACGCTGGACACCCCGTGTTCCCTGTTATGTATGCATAAAGTCAGTTGGTGCAGAGGTTACAAGAACCTGGCTGCGTTCCAGATCAGCCCATGACAAGTGTTCTGGCGTCAGAGCGGTTTGTGATATGGAGTACAATTTATATCCAGCCATATCTCATATACTACAGTTGTGAGAGCAAAGTGGCAACGATAGGGCACCGTATAACTGTATTCTTGGAGTTAATGGCCATTGTAAAGTTTTATGTGTCTTATAGTTGTCCGGGACTTCAATACTTTTAGCATAGCTTCCATATGATCATGGAAAAACTTGTGTCGCTTTTTTTAAATATGAAACACAATGGTTTAAGCTGTTCAGTGAAAATACGACTAATTATATGTCATTGTCTATTTACCCATGAAGTGATTCACTGATTCACTTTACCAGCTGCCTGAAAAGTTTCATTCGTTTTGAAAGATTGATTGAGTTAATTATTGCATCCTTTACTTAAATTACCGAACAGGCAAAAATAAAAGCAATCTTACGTGTACGAGGATCGCTACTCAACAACTGTATTAATTAACGGATTAACTCTGTTGAAAATAAATTGAATTATAGAAGTATGAGTTGCAGAAACCCAGTCAGCCACAAGAATGTCTAGTTCGGTGGAAACTGGACTTTTACAGTCAGTTTACTCCCTTGGCTCGGGAAGATTCAACAATGCAATTGTAAGAAGTTGAGGTTTGATATACCCGCCAGCTTTTGGTGGCCCATGAGACGGAGAATTCTCAAACAGAATCATGTCATTTCTCAAGATGGTGAAGTGAGTGAGTGAGTGAGTATGGTTTAACGCCGCTTTTAGCAATATTCCAGCAATATCACGGCGGGGGACACCAGAAATGGGCTTCACACATTGTACATGTTTCCCATGTGGGGAGTCGAACCCGGGTCTTCGGCGTGACGAGCGACCGCTTTGACCACCAGGCTACCCCAACGCCCCTCAACATTGTGAAGCAATGGCTGGAACATTAGTGTTCTTCGTGAGCAGTTGCTGAGTAAGGACCTACTATTGCCAAGGTTAAGTATTTTACTTTAAAAATGGAAAATAATAAGCTTCTTCCTCTAAGTATAAATCTAGCGGAAGTTGTGACGTATAAAAGTTGATTCGTAATCGTTTACGTGGTTTGACGTCAGTGGTAAGTCAAGGTGTAGCAGGGCGTGGTGTCATCCCACCGATGACATCCTTGCCTTGTCAGCTTGCTGGCCCCTTTGGCCATGTGGACAAAGCGTCCGACCTCTGATCAGAAGGTCCGTGGTGCCAATCCCATTACGGGACTCGGAAAGTTTATGACCGCTACATAGGCGCCCACCGTGGGACTGGGCACGTTCAAAAAAAAGCCTCAGTACCCTACTATGCGGCCCGGTATGGTTATTCTCTTGCATTGACAATTCATAATTTACTTGAACTGGGTCGATGTTTCTGCTCGTGGACTTCAAGTCCCCGAGAATCATCATAAGCTCAATAGCATTTATCTATACTGAGTCAACTACAAAAGAATTGGGCCGAGGCATTAAAGTTGTTAACATTCTTAATGGTCCATTCATATAAGTTTCACAGCTATTTTGACCTTACGCCAAATGGAATCTGTTTCGGCGGATAATCTACATTGGTTATTCTCTTTCATTGACAATATATATTTACACGGATTTATCAAGTCCCCAAGCCAAAACAGGTGACCACTATCTACGTAAATACAATTGTCACTGAGACAGCAGAAAAAAAACTGTTCCATGTTCAGTATTAAGTAACGTGTATTTTTTAGGTCGTGTTGTACTAACAATAGAAATGAATAAAGGTATGAACGTGTCTACCAGTGAAATAGATAGTAACTATCCATACAAAGCTATTGACAAATATGATTCATTAACTACATAACGTTGTGCTGTTTGTGTGCATTCAATCCTTGCAGTATTACCAGTTAATTCATGTTGTTTGTTTGTTGTTTAACGCCGCTTTCAGCAATATTACAGCAATATGATCGATGTTTGTTAAAGGCCTGGAATCTGGACCTGCAAATCCAGTGATTGACATCTTGAGCAACGATTTCGCAATTAAGGTGATGATATGTATCAACCAAGTCAGCCAGTCTGAGACCCAGATGCCGTAAGTCGCCTCTTAATAGAAACATGGGTTGCTGGAAACCAGTTCTCACTCGGATCTTCACAGGGACATGTGGTGAGGTGAGGTGCAATGGGGTTTAACGTCGCGTCCAAGATTATTGCACTTATATAGCGACGTGCATGTACGTATGTGTGTTTGTGTGGCTGCTTGTGCTAGTCAGGACTGATGCTCACTGAGATACCATAACACGAATACCCCACTCAGACACAGTATACTGACTCCGAGCCGACCACTCCTTGTTTTAGCCCCTTAATGCCGAGCGCCAGACAGGGTAACAACAAGTATCATCTTTTAACGTCTTTTGGTATGACGCGGCCGGGGATCGAACGCCGGACCTTCCGCTCTCCGGGCGGACGCTCTACCATTAGACCACGGGGCCATGTAGTGTTGTGGCCAAGGAAGTATGTATGCAAGTATGGACGTGCAGAGTACTGCGCCATGGCTCGGTGCCATCTCTTCCTGCTTGAGAATAGTAACAGAAACACTCTGCCCTTTGACCCGGGGTTCCAAAACACGAGCTCGACTCCTGACAATCAGCATGCTTATTTGTGTCTTAGGTTTTTTCCTAGATATCTACTATCTTAGGTCACTGAAGTGTTCTGACTCAAAAGGGGGCGGTCAGGTAGCCTAGTGGTTAAAGCGTTCGCTCGTCTCGCCGAAGACCCGGGTTCGAATCCCGACATGTGTACAATGTGTGAAGCCCATTTCTGGTGTCCCTCGCCGTGATCTTGCTGGAATATTGCTAAAAGCGGCGTAAAAACCATAGTCACTCACGCAAAAGAGACTGTTCATATCAAATAAACGTATTTGCCAAGCGCAAGTGCAAATGGTACGAAAAGCAAAACTGCGGATAATCTATCCTTCTAACAAACACAAGCAAAGCAGATACAGAAGACGTCTCCAAAGCAGAACCCCCCCCCCCCCCCCCGAAAAAAATACAACAAAATAATAAATAAAATATTCCGTTAGACTTCCCATTCTTCTACAACTTGCAAGTTTCTGTACTCTTGATTTGCGATACTCATTCAAAGCGATACAATCTGTGTTCCAATATCTATTTAAACCGACCTCACTCTAAGCAAATATCATTATCACAATTTCAGTAAGTAATCAGACAGAGTACATGTGTGTGTGCATACACCATCTGTACACATATACTGAACTGCAAAAGAAACGTCACCATGGATACATATATGAGAATTCAAACCTTATTTGTCCAAACACTGTAAACATACTTTGAGACATATTAAAGAGATAAACTTGGCAAAACTGATCATCAAGGTTGAAATTAAAGTGTCAAATGTTCTTAAAGTGAAACACAACACTAGTCTCTGAGAAAATGGCATCACAAGTCAGTATCTCCTGTGTCCGCCATGTGCATTGATGACTGCCGTGCAACGTCGATACATGGAACGGATGAGGCGGTTGATGAAGGCCATAGGCACTTGTGCCCACACTCTGAGGAACGCCTGACGCAGTTCTGCTGCAGTTGTCGGCCTTGGTCGGGACTGAGGGCAGGCCACTGCGTGGTTCTGATGCAATTCTGCTTGGGGAAGTCTCTTGTTGCTCTCGCAGTGTGGGCACGGGCGTTGTCATTCTGAAACTCGTGGTTGCGGCGACGTGCCAAATGATGTATGGCGTGTGGTCTCAAGACTTGATCAATGTACAGAGCTGCTGTGACACCATTACCTCTCCCTGGACCGATGTTCTGGAAGACCACAGGGCCGACTCTCTGTGCAAGACCAATTCCACCCCACACCATGATGCTCGGACCACCCCACGAGTCTCTCTCAACAACACAAACATCCGAATAACGTTCCCCATGGCGTCGCCAGACACTCTCTCTGCCATCTGTTGTTGAGATACAGTAACGTCTCTCGTCTGAGAAGAGGACTCTTCTCCACTGCTGGTGGCGCCAATGCTGTGTTGCACACTGAAGACGGTCCCGGCGATGACTTGGTGTCAGAATGGGTCCTCGGTGTGGCCTGTGACAGTGGAGGTGTCTGCTCGTCAATCGTCGACGCACGGTGTCCGCACTAATGTGTCGCTGGTGTGTCCCCATGGTCTGTCGAGCAGTTGCCGCAGCAATAACAAAGCGAACTTGAGGATGCTGTCGCACAATCTGACGATCCTGACGTCGGGTGGTGGCCCTTGGTTATCCACAACGTTGTCGGTCATCTGTTGTGTTGGTTGTCTGGTACCGTTGCTGGAGCCTGTATATGGACTTGAAATACATTGGCTACTTGCCGGGCGGTTTGTCCCGCATGCAATCGTCCA